AGGTAAATGACGGTGATGCCACATTTGAAATTCCTGATGACATGCTGATTCGGAATTCTTCAGATCCCTTTTTGGATCTTATAGAATTTGTCTATCCCGATCTGGTGACCAACATTTTCACTCTCGAGTATTTCGAAGGCAGAGCAATTCTTGCACCCACTAATGAAAGTGTCGGTTTTGTGAACGATCATTTTTTGTCGATCATAACTGGAGAGGAGAAGGTCTTTTTGAGCTCCGATAGTATGTGCAAGGAGGAGTTATTGTCGGATGTCAACGCAGATATATACTCACCTGAGTTTCTCAACACCATATCATACTCCGGAATTCCACCACATAAGTTGACATTGGAAAGAGGTATTCCCGTTATGCTCATCAGAAATACTGATCAGGCCAGAGGATTGTGCAATGGAACAAGGCTTCAGGTTGTTAATATGGGAAAACACGTTTTCAACTGCAGGTTCCTATCCGGTAAATATATTGGTGATTTGGTGTTCATTCCTAGAATGACTTTGGTACCGTCCAACTCTACATTGCCTATTAAATTCCAGCAACGTCAGTTTCCGCTGATGGTATCATTCGCAATGAAAATCAATAAAAGTCTAGGACAGACTCTTTCTCACGTGGGACTGTATTTGCCGAGACCTGTTTTCAGTCTCATGCAACTCTATGTCGCACTCTCGAGAGTTAAGAGTCGAAGTGGCATATAGATTTTGGTTAACTCGGAATCTGGTGATAGGACCAATGTTACAAATAATGTTGTATACAAGAAAATTTTTCAGTATATATGAAGGTAATTTTATATACAAAAAATTACAATATTCATTGACCACCTTTATATTCTATTATTTATATGTTTTGTTATTCCTCATTTGTAGGTTTATTTTAATTGTACTAGGAACTTGCTATGGACTCCGCTCACTATATATCATGAAAATAATTTTATTACAATGATTTTATGCCATTAAACAGTGATATTGGTATTGTTTTGGTAACAATTTACATATTCCGTGTCACCATTGTACAACATATGCAGGTCAGTTCTATTGGTATTGTTTTGGTAATTTTTGTACAATGATTTTATACCATTAAACAGTTGCATTGTATCGGATTTGTTGCATGGGTTTAGGGCGGTTGGTATCAAACAATTCAAGTTTTCAACTTTCATGTCATTATGGTTGTACAAGTTTGGGACCTACTATATATTCGCTCTTTTGTATATGGAAATTAAAACCTTCGATTTTTAGTTTTTTCACTTATATCGACTTATTTCATCACTTACACCATACAAATTAGTTTTATTTTTGAATATTTTCTATTTATTTCTTTTACTTATTAACAATTAATATTACTATTTCGAGAACCTTTTTACCTATTCAATATTTGTTTTACGATGAATACCCCGTGCATCGCACGGGTGTATTACTAGTACTATGTTAAAAATATGCGAACAATTCATAAAAAAATGAATTAACTTGGTCAAAAAATTTATTTAAATTGATAAAAGACATTTTAATAAGCCAAAACTATTTAAATCGGTCCTAATTTTTTTTTTTTAAATCGGTGAAAAATCAAAATAGGTAAAGTTGATTTAAGAAAAAAAAAAACAATGTTAATTTGGCCGGGTCAAATCAGTCATGAGTAGGAGATAATTCGTTATAGAAACACGGTTAAACTTATTAGTTTTTATTGGTTAAAATGGCATAATATAGTAAAATCCGTTTATACTATGCTACACTGGGTGAAATACACTGAGTAAATATCCTTTATATACACACACAAAAACACATTATTGTGTTTAGATCGACGGTAGAATTTCACCCGGTGCAACCTTTATCGGACATAGCATAGAAATAATCAGTAAAATCGGGAAAAAAAGAAGTCAAAATAGGTTGAAAATTGGTCAAAATAGGTGCAATGAAATGTTCCACTATGGTGAACTCAACTTGATGTATTTTTGTAGCTCCATTGTATTCAGTATGTACGTGCATACATAATTTTTATTTTTCATGTAATTATGTGATTGCAAATACAATGAATTTCCTAGAAGAATGACTGTTCCATACAATATTAATGATATTTTTAAATCACAATGGCAGGTTTCATTTCATGTAAAAACGCACGAAATAAAATATAATTTCGAAACAAAATTATTTCGTGTAGCATTGCACGAAATAACAAAATTAAATGCCGCACAATACAACACGCAATGAAGATGTCAAAATTCGACAAAACACATGATTTTTCATCTCAAAATCAAAGTTGAATTTAACCATGTTGATACTTATTGTGCTCTAACTTGCACTGCGAGTGTAAAAAAGCGCACTAATAATAGCAAACCATGTTAACTAATTGGCGGATAAATACCACTTTGCATCCTTGAGTTATGTTGATTTGGCAATGTGCACCCTTTGAAACTCAATAAAACCATTTGCATCCTAAATTTCTATGTTCTATTAAAATATGCATCCCAATCTATATTTCGGCAAAATTGCTCACTCGAACATCATTTTTCTCGACAGTACATGCAGGGGCGGATCCATGTGTAGCCTTGGGGCGCTCCCGCCCCTGCAAAAATTTTTTTTAGCAATTTCCCAAGATTTAAATTTTGTTCATTTTAGCTCATGAAAAATATTTTTTTCCTTCTCTTAATTCATACCCATATATTCGCCCCTCCACCAAAAACCCCATGGGTCCGCCCCTGAGTACATGCATGGGCAATTTTGTTAGATTCGTAATTGCCATTCGAAAATTAAGTCATGCAAGTCACATGATATATTATATATTGTGGCATTGGCTCAATATTTGCAACAATTAAAGAAAATAAAAAAGAAAAGTAACAGCATTATCTTATTCTCTAATTTTATTTTAGGATTTTTCGAATATATATCAAATAGCATTTACAACACTTTGGATGTAACCACACATTGTTTTAGGGGAAAAAAGAAGAAGGAAAAAAGGTAAGACTCTATTATAAACATCAACCAACAATCGAGCACAATGGGACAGTTTAATATTTAAAAGAATGCATGTTTATTAAGCTAACATTATTTATTGCCCTTTGTAATTGTAGGAGGCAAAATAGCTTTTATTGGGTTTCAAATGCAGATAATAGTGGTTCACTAATGGACAATAATGCAGTGATACATTGACAAAGAATTGCACTTAAAAACTGCTAAACAAACGAACCAACAAACGAAAGAGTACGTATAAGTGCGCATTACAGTTCACTAGTAGTGAAACAAAACCTATTCACCCTATTCAAGTGTCGGGAACCTAGCAGAGGCAATTAAAGACTGCAAAACAAACGAGGAAACGGACGAGCAAACCAACCAACAAAAGAAAGAGTATAACCGCTGCGCATTACAGTTCACTAATAGTGGCACGTAATCCGTTCACACTTGAACACTTTTCAAACGTCAAGAACTTAGCATGAGGCACTTAAAACTGCAAAACACACGAGCAAACGGACCAACAAACGGAAGAGTATAAGTGCTGCGCATTACAGTTCACTAATAGCGAGCAAAGAGTATAACTGCGGTTTACAGTTCACTAGTAGCGACACAAAATCTATTCACATTTTTTCAAGTGTCGGGAACTCAGCAGAGGGACATCTAACTTGGAAACGAATGAGTGGAAATTGGACCAAATGGTGTCAACTTACTTCGCGGCAGGAAATTCGCAAATCGACACGTATGTGCCCACCTGTTTGCTCAGCATCTCTCCAAAGTGTTCAAAATGTACGTGACGAGCATCACTAACCAATCCTTGAACTTTCCTTCTAACTGCATTCTCAGTAGGATGAAAAAATCTTGCTCGATTCGAATCTTATGTCCTTGCAACATACTTAGTGTGTTGGTAAGATTCTTGTTTGTAGTTATAGACGCATAATAAAGCTTCCGATACTCCGATAATGCACCTACCAGCCATTGAATTTTATCTTCAGGAGCCATTGAATAGTGTATATTGTTAATAAGTGGGACTGTATTAGTTTTTATTTAACTTATCAAACATAAACACAATATATTTAAAATTTCCGAGAATTACTATTTAATTCCGAATAATTTGAGGTAAATTTTCAAAAATTGTCGCAATTGTGATTCTTATGTAATTTCCGATTTTTTGATATTATCAAAATTTCCATAATTGGAAAATAATTCTGAATTCCGAAAATTTCGGAATTCAATCAGAAAGTTCTATTTGATTTTTGAGAAAAAAAATCTCGAAAGGCTAGTTTTCGATCTTATCCATCCGACTTTTGCTCCTAATGGAAACAATATCTGAAGAGAAATATCTAAAAAAATAGAATTCTAACTATAGGAGTCTAGATGTAATTTAACCTAACCTCTTGGAAGGTATGTATCATTTGTGCAAAAAAAATTAAACTATTAAGCTATGTAGCATGGATATGAAAACGGTGAGATGGGGAAACGAACATGTGGAAATGGCGTATCAAAAAAATGGGATATAAGAGCTTAGAAGGAACATGTGAATATTAAAATTGTAGAGGTATATTATATAATATATGAATATATATATATATATATATATATATATATATATATATATATATATATATATATATATAACTAAAAGTCTATATTTTCAAGAAATTAAATTATGGGTAAATTACAACCGTACTTCTGAGGTAAGATATATTTATGAATAAACCCTATTTTTTACATAATTACATCTACCCCTTGATATTTGTAATTTTCTTACATTAACCCCTTTTGTAGGGGTGTATGTAAGAAATATACAAACTACAGGGGTCTGAATATAATTTCTAACAAATGTGGGGGTTTGTACGTAAATTAACATTTTGCCTCAAGGAGGTGGTTGTAATTTACGCAGAATTAAATTATGAATAAAAAAAGTCCAGCCATAAATAAAGAAAGCGGTCAGCGCATAAACATAGGGGATGCGGTGTTTGCGTATGACCAGTTTTCAGTGAGAGAAAAAAGGAGAGAAACAAATTTTGTTTATAAAGGAAATAATAATTCAACGCAATTTGGTAATCTGAAAAATTTAATAAAGAGATTTGTTTTTTTCTGTTAGGAGGTTTTTCTCTTTTACGGTGACGGAATAATTCGCTCTCGCGCTCTCCCGTTGCCGTTTCGTCGCCCTGAATGCCTCACCAGTGTTCAGGGTATTCTCTCTCTCTCTCTCTCTCTCTCTCTCTCTCTCTCTCTCTCTCTCTCTCTCTCTCTCTCTCTCTCTCTCTCTCTCTCTCTCTCTCTCTCTCTCTCTCTCTCTATATAACTCTTTCTCTCTCTAACTCTCTCTCTCATGTTCATCTGGCATGACGAATTTACCTTTTTTATTTAGCATGTGGAAAATGTGCGTTGTTATTTATACTTTTTTTTTGCAATTTCTTTTTCGTGAAATGGATTTAGCTAATTATTATGTAATGTGAACTCGGTTCGATTCCATATTTTGATTAATGAATCGGAGTTATTTTTTTGTTGTTGGCAGCATTCCAATGGATGCTTATGATCCATTTTTTGTTGTGTTATTCGGGTTTTTTGAAAAAGATATTAAATTATTAGTTCGATAATTTAATATTTCGCTAAAGCAATAGATTTTCGCTAGTACCGACTGTATTAATTTAAAGAGGTTTATCTGTAGTTGCATTTTGTGGATTGAATCTCTTATTTTACGATTTTGCATCTCCTATTTGATCGATTGGATTATTTGTTGCTATCCTATATTTCATCGATATTATTAAATGAAGAACGATTAACGATGATGGGAATGACATATTTTTTGAGGTAAAATGCATCGTGTTAGATAAGCGCAACTTCATTCTATACGCCTCGAAAATCTCGTGCATTCTATACGCCTCGAAAATCTCGTGTAATCAATCAAAGATGATGATATTCTCGTAATTCCATTAGTTCATCAACGAACGATTTTTTTTTTCTTGTGCAGTCCATTCTGGTAATTTTGAAGCAGAGGAGCGAGGGTCTAATAATAAGACGGTAGGCCTCGTCGATATATTTTAATTCAGAAATTCAGTTTCTACCGACATGTGTAATGAACGATGAATGTAGTGTTTGATGTTTTGCAGGTGTACGGAGATTAGCACCATGGTTCTATTCGTTGATCTTTGCAGCCTTTTTTATGCGAATTTCAAGTAAGAATCACATTTATGGGATATTCTTTGATGCCAATTCATCCGATTCTTTAAATTGTTTTGTGAATTTTGGTTGCAGTTATATGATGTCTAATCTCCTCGAGAAGACTAACACTCAAGAAACCCCGTAAAGAAAAAAAAAGAAAAAAAAAAGAAGCATATTCACTTAGCATGTATAACACCCGTACTCTGGTGCACGCGTCTCTTGAACGAGAAGATGGCTGTAGCCGTTGATCAATTAGGTCATGGGTTCAAGCCATTCGCCCGCCCGCCACGATGCAAGCTCCCCTCCTTCACTCAACTCGATGAACACAAAATGCTCGACTTCACTCAACAATCCAAGCTCCCGCCGCAATCTCTAGAACATTCCGGAAACAACAACAACACCAACAACATTCACAAGAGCTTCTCCACCCCATGCCTCTCCCGCTCTTCCCAAGCCAAAAAGGACGAACACGACCACTACGAGACGAAATCGAGAAAAATCGAAATCATAGTCGGGCGCTCCGCCCCGAGGGTGCGTGCTCTTGTGGTGGAAGTCGCCATCGCCATGGCCGCCGGTGCGGACCCCGAGCCGGCCTCGAGCGGGCTCGGTGGGGCCTACTTCCTCCGGGCCCAAAACGGGGACACTATAGCCGTGGCTAAGCCGATAGACGAGGAGCCGCTTGCCTTCAACAACCCTAAGGGCTTAGCTGGACGTAACTTCGGCCAGCCTGGCATGAAGTGCTCGATTCGAATAGGCGAAACGGGCCTACGCGAATCGGCCGCGTATTTCCTAGACCACGATAATTTCGCCGGTGTACCTCCAACCGCACTCGTTAGATTCTCCCACGTGAAATTCAATTTAAATAATAATAATAACAGTTCAGGTTCGGAGTCGGGTTCGGTTTACAAGGTCGCCTCCCTTCAGCGGTTCGTCAAGCACGACTCCGATGCGGGGGATTTGGGCCCTTCGAGCTTTTCGGTCACCTCCGTGCACCACATAGGTATACTTGACGTGCGGCTGATGAATCTCGATAGGCATGCGGGGAATATTCTCGTGAGGCAGGGTGTAGGGAGTTACGGTGGGGGCACGGCCGAGCTGGTGCCGATCGATCACGGGTTTTGCTTGCCTGAGTCGCTCGAAGATCCGTATTTCGAGTGGCTGCATTGGCCTCAAGCTTCGATTCCGTTTTCGGAATCAGAAGTTGATTACATATTGTGTCTTGATCCTTTTAAAGATGCCGAGCTGTTGAGGAGCGAGCTCCCTTCGTTAGGGGAGCCCTCCGTTAGGGTTCTCGTACTATGCACGATTTTTTTGAAGGAAGCAACTTCGTACGGGTTGTGCCTTGCCGACATAGGCGAAATGATGACTAGGGAATTTCACGGGGGAGAAGAAAATTGGAGTACGTTGGAGAGTTTGTGCAACAACGCCAAGGCGGCGTTCTTGAAAAACGACGATAGTGACAACGAGACTCAGCTTGTGGAAGTTGAGGACGAAATGTTCCAATTCGATGACGACCTTACAAATCAAGAAACTACGGAAAACTCCCCCACGAAAGGTAAGCCGTCAAAAATCCCGAGATATTCTTCGATGAGCGTGTTGGACGGTTCGGGAGCGGGAGCTTCTCCGTTGAGTAAGAACGAGAAATGTTTGATTAACGATTGCGCTACGAAGACATTATCGGATAATAATAATAATAATAATAATAATAATAATAATAATAATTGTGTTGATGAAGACGATGACGGTATGAAGGGAGGTGGAATGATGAGGAGTATGAGTTACTCGATTCAAAATTACAGTCGAGACGGTCAATGCGTTTGTCTAGGGGAAATGAACGAGGAGGAGTGGCGGTTGTTCTTGGAGAATTTCGAGAAGCTTTTGCCAGAGGCCTTTGAGGAACGAAAATCGATGGGCTTGTCGAAGCAGAGGCTGGGATCTTCGTGTGAGTTTTGAAAAAAAATGCAATTAATAATTAAAATTTGCATTAAAATTTCGAATAAAAACTGTGTATACACACATTAACTAACTCTTCTAGATGATTTGCATAGGATGTAGATTATAAAAAAAAAAAAAAAAAAAAAAAAAAAAAAGTAGTAGGGGAGGAAAAGAGATAGGCTTAAGAAAAGCCATCCTTTCACTAGTAGTCTTTGTAGATGATTTTTTTTTTATTCTTTATTACATTTTGCATTTTCTACAATGTGGTATTTTTTCTATGTTGTTTTAAGACAATTTTTTTATGTTGTTTTTGGACTGCACAAACTGTATAGTACTGTGGATATTTATATTTTGGAAAATTTGTAATTATTGTACTGTAAAGCAAATTGTGAGAAGTAATGTTTGGATTCGTTTTGGGAGTTATTTTCATTTTATTTTAGGGAAATATATTTTCAGGGAATAAGCTCTAATGTTTGTTTATAATACAAGAGGAAAAATGTATTTTAGAATAATAATTTTAATTTTAAGGCATATAAATCATCATCAAGAGAAGAAGATTCGTAAATTTGAGGCATATAAATCATCATCAAGAAACCATCGAAAATGTGAAGTTGTTCGTTCCCAATCAACTCGATTTTGGGTAGATACTATAAAGAGAGGCATAACTAGGATTTTCAAAATTGGAGGAAATCATATAAGTGGTTATTATGGGCATTTAAGTCATTTCATCCTAAAGCTAACGGTGTTAAATTTGAGTGCTGAAGATGTGAAGTTGTTCGTTCCCAATCAACTCGATTTTGGGGAGATACTATAACGAGAGGCATAACTAGGATTTTCAAAATTGGAGGAAATCATCTTAGTGATTAGTATGGGCATTTAAGTCGTTTCACACCTAAAGCTAACGGTGTTAAATTTAACTAACGAACAATTGACGTAAACCCAGTATCGACACACAATCGAGCAAGTACAAGGGGCAAAGCGATAGATATTGAAAGTATAAGGGGGTAAAATATATAAAAAATAATTTCACCAAATATCCAAAACTTATAAATGTGGATGCAAATAATCGATTCCCCAAATTAAAATATAAATCACACAAAAAAAAAATAACCAGCGAAAAAAGTCAAACCGAAAATGGCGACGCAAATCCACCACCACCACCAACTCCCTTACGCCACCTTCAGCGTGGTCTTCCACGCCGACGTAGTCCACACCACCGTGACACACGATCCCGCCACCGTCTCGAAATGGATCGAACACATCACCTCCCTGTACGGCCACCTCCCCCTGATCGTCGGACTCGACATCGAGTGGCTCCCGAACACCACGCGCGGCCAGCAAAACCCCGCCGCCACGCTCCAGCTCTGCGTCGGCCGCTGCTGCCTCGTCTACCAGCTCATCCACTCGCCGTACCTGCCGATCCAGCTCACCCGATTCCTCTCCTTCTCCCACCACACGTTCGTCGGAGTGGAGGTGAAATCCGATCTGGAGAAACTCGAGCGGGACTACAAAATTGGGTACAACGCGAGGGCGGTGGATCTGAGGGGTGTGGCGGCGGAGGTGTACCGGAGGAAGGATCTGAAGTGCGCCGGATTGAAGGGGCTAGCGAAAATTGTGATCGGAAAAGAGATGGATAAACCTAAATCGGTGACGATGAGTAATTGGGATAATCGGTGGCTCACGGCGGATCAAATCAAGTATGCTTGTGTTGATGCTTTTGTTAGCTTTGAAATTGGCAGGGTTTTGAATGCTTGTGCTTTTGTGTAAATATTAAAATCGGATATTTTTGTTAATAATTTTTTTTAATTATTATTATTATTAACGAACTGATTAATATTTGTTGGGGGTGTTTTTATCATGTGTTCTAAATTTATATGAGATATCCCCTTCAAATTGCGACACTTGTCTCAGCAAAAAAAATCTATTTTTTCCCCATTTATGTATTGTCGCAAATACCCTTTGTACAATAATTATTTTTAAAAAATCGGCAATTATAAATTATTAATGAAATGTCAATTTTACCCTCTCTATTTTAATGCAATTTTGAATTTATATTTATTGCTGAATTAAAATTTATAAAGTCAATTATATCATTATTCATAAAAATCATTAACCACCCATCCATAATTGCATCAACCTGAATTCAAACTTGTGACCATCTCAAAAAACATACAAGAATACTTACCATTAAGACACAATAGATAATTGACAATAAACTAACAATACGGATATATATCACAAAGCTATAATTATAATGGTTATAAAACTTATATAAATAATGTTAAATAAATTATTAATTCTCATATAATTATTATTATATATTAATAATATTCCATACTAATAAATCTTTATATAATATATTTTAAAAATGTAAGGAAATGTTGATCAACTAGTGTAATTTAAAAATGAATTTCGAAAGAATTTGAAGTTTGAATTGAATCGTAAATTGTAAGATTTAATTAAATCATAATATTTGAATCAATTAAACTCATGTGTTTTCAATTCAAAACAATATTCAAAGATTTGATCGATTAAGCTCAACTCATTTCAATTCGTAGACAATATTCAAATATTTGAATCGGTTAAACTCAATAATTTACAATAGCGTATTAATCAAACTATGTATAGTTAAAGTTTAGTATTTTTTTTTATTGAATTTTATCATAAAAAATAATAAAATTTAATTCGTAAAAATCGTGAGATTTAATCGGTTCATGGTTAGATCAAATCTTACGATTTACGATTTGATTCTTACGATTTTACGAATTAAATTATTATTTTTTTGTTAAAATTGAATTAAAAGGATAGTAGACTTTAATTATAAATAGTTAACTCGATTAATACGTTCTTGTCAGTGGTTGAACTTAATCGATTCAAATTTTTGAATAATATTTACAAATTAAAAGGATTTGCGCTTAATTGATTCAAATCATGCGATTTAATTAATCTTATGATTTGATTCTTACGTAATTTAGGAATTATTTTTTTATGATAAAATTGAATTAAAAATGTATTACACTTTAATTAATAATAATTAGTTTGATTAAGACGTTCTTGTCAATAGTTGAGCGCGCTAATTAATCGATTCAAATATTTGAATAATGTTTACAAATTGAAAGGACTTGAGCTTAATTTGTTCAAATATTACGCTTTGATAAAATACTACGATTTACGATTAGGTTCTTACATGTGTTAGGAATTAAATTTATTATTTTTTATGACAAAATTAAATTAAAAAGATATTAGACATTACTTATAAATAGTTAAATCAATTATGTAACACGTTATGTCAATAGTTAAGCAACCGATTCAAATATTTGAATAATGTTTACTGATTGAAAGGATTTGAACTTAATCGATTCAAATCTTACTATTTGATTAAATTAAATATTAAAAGAAAATTCACAATATAGTATTTGTAGTATATAATTTTATTTTAAAGTGAGAAAACTACTAATTGGAATGAGTTATAAATTTTTCTTCTTCTAAATAAACATAGTATTTTATTTTTTATTTGGATTTGTCACACTATCGATTTAATAACATAAGTGAGTTTGAATTAAGTTATGCATTTTTTATATTTAATTGAGCATTCTTTACATTTTTAAATGGTAAAGTTTATTAATAATTCTAATATTATATAATTAATGATAGATGTTTGGCGTATTGAACTGCAATTCTTTATATTTTTCAAACTTTATTATATTAAATTTGTTAATAATTTATTTAATATTATTTAATAATAATGAATATTGCAATTAATATTTTAATTAACAGTATGTATACAATTATGGTTAAATATATCATTATAAGTTAATGTCCTTGGATGGTTAGGAGTGGTAAATGTATTGAGATGTCACAAGTTCTATCCCTAATGAATGCATTTTTTTCGATTATTTATCAAATAAAACTCGGTCACAATGAATTTAAATTAATTATTTAATTAAAATATAGTAGGGGATAAATTAGACAATTCAATGTTAATCAATTTTATATTAATTTAATAAAAATAATAATCGAAGGATAATTTGGTAAAGTACTTCATTTTTTAGAACATATGCCATGTTATTTTTCTAGGGTCCAGATTTAATCTTAGAAAATTAATGGTGATTAATGCATATCTCATAAAAGTTTAGAACACAACTGGTCTCACCCTAGAAAGACCCTATTTTTGCTGTTTTTTTTGGGGAAGATAAGAATATCTCTTAATCACGGCACTTTCTACATTATTAAGGGGTAATGACAAATAGGCCCATGACAAGGGTACTTAATTAAAAGAGGGACATCCAATTTTTTTGTCTTTCAAATAAATCCACTCCATTCAAACTTATTTGCAAATAAGGAAAATCTCTTTTTATATACCAAACTTACCCTCAATTCTATGAAACCCAATTCAATTCCAATTTCATGATTTACACCCCCAATTTAGCCCAATTTCATCAATGAACCAATTTTAACCCTAATTTCAACTTTGACCCCAATTTTGACCCGCCACCACCGGTCGCCGGCGTTGACTTTTTTTTTTTTTTTTTTTGAGAAACTTTTTTTTTTCCTGAAATCTTTTTCCAGCCGGTCAACTGCTGTTGACTTTTTTTTTCCCTTTATAATTTTGTTTTTTCTTAAAAAAATATTTTAATTAATATTACTGTCTTGGCTTCTAAATTACTGTCTCCGGTAGTTATTTAACTGTCGGAGACAGTAATTTAACTGTTAATTGACTTTTTTTTTCTTCAAAAATATTTTAATTAATATTACTGTATTCGTTGCTAAATTACTGTCTCCAGCAGTTATTGAACTGTTGGAGACAGTAATTTAACTGTTAATTGACTTTTTTATTCTTAAAAAAAATATTTTTAATTAATATTACTGTATTCGTTGCTAAATTACTGTCTCCAGCAGTTATTTAACTGTTGGAGACAGTAATTTAACTGTTAATTGACTTTTTTATTCTTAAAAAAAATATTTTTAATTAATATTACTGTCTCGAGCAGTTATTTAACTGTCGGAGACAGTAATTTAACTGTTAATTGACTTTTTTTTTCTTAAAAAAAAATGTTTTAATTAATATTACTGTCTTTGGTGCTAAATTACTGTCTCCAATAGTAATTTAACTGTCTTAGACAATAATATTAATAATATTACTGTTCGGAAAAATAATATTCATAATATTATCGTCCCAAAAGTAATATTACTGCCTGAGACAGTAATTTAGTAGCCAAAACAGTAATATTAATTAAAATATATTTTTTTCTATGAAAAAAAAAAATTCAAAAAAAAAGTAAACGCCGGAGACCGGCGGTCAACGGTGGTTGACCGGCCGGAAAAAAATTTCAGGAAAAAAAAAGTTTTCAAAAAAAAAGGTCAATGCCGGAGACCGGCGGTCTCCGGCGGGCAATGCCGGAAACTGGCCGGAAAAAAAATATTTCAGAAAAAAAATTATTTTCTGAAAAAAAAAAGATTTGGGGGTTAATGTGATATATTTGTTTAAATCCAAGGTCAATGTATAATATTAAGGAAGTTAGAGCATAATGGGTGGAATTGATAAGAATTATATTATGGAGGGTATTTTAGACTAAAGACATGGGGATGAGTTTAATTGAGAGACTGTTTTTTTTGTGGACCAAAATGCATTTAAGTCCCATGTGATGGGCCTTTTTGCCATTCGCCGAATTATTAATAGTTTCTGTAAGAAAAAAATAACTTTAAATTATAATATTAATACTATAAATAATTTGTTTGCTTTCGCTAATTTTGAAATTTCAAGAACATAAAAATAAAAGATAGATATGTAGAGTTTTAAACACTAACGAAATAATAATAATATCTATTTTTTTTGTGGCGCAAAGGTCCATATATTTTTTTATACGTACATGAATACAATATTTTAATATTAATTTAATTGTAAATTATTTAAAAAACTTTAAAAAATTGACCCATGTTCCTAGAATATCAATTTCCTAACCCAATTAAAACTCGTTAACATCTACCTAAAATAAGACATATTCCTTTTAGAACTCTAATTACCTACACCTAAAATTTGTTTATAAATAGATCTTCCCCTACACAAAGTATTGCATACTTATCGACCCTTTCCTTTTTTTTTTTTTTTCATAGAAACTTGTGGCTACTTCAAATCAATTATGACAATGAACGTAAAGATCGAAGAATTCAAACTCCCTTTTGATACCCACAAACTATACAATGTCATTATCGACAACAATGACGTGATCGAAACCCTAGTTACCCACGACCCAACCATGGTCTGCATGTGGATCAATAATACCGAGATCCTAAACCGGCCCCGCCTCCACCGCCTACTTGTGGGCCTCGACACCGAGTGGCGCTCGATCGTCGTCGAAGGTCGTGTTCAAACTGTGTCCGTACTTCAATTGTGCGTGGGCAAATCCTGCCTCGTTTACCAAATCCTCCACGCCGAAGAAATTCCTCATGAATTAGTAAGTTTTCTCGAAAACCCCGATTACACGTTCGTTGGAATTGGAGTTGACAAAGATGTCGAGAAACTGCTGGGCGATTACAATCTGAAGGTGACGAAGGTGCGTGACCTACGGACGTGGGCTGCAAAAGAGCTCGAGGCGAAGGAACTTCGGTATGCTGGGTTGAAAACATTGGTCAATCTAGTTGTTGGAAAAGATATGGAGAAGCCGAAGAGAATTACGATGAGTCGGTGGGATAATCGTGTGCTTTCACGTGGTCAGGTTTCGTATGCTTGTCTCGATGCTTATTTCTCGTTCGAGATCGCGAGGCTATTGAGTTCGTGGTATTAGATATCGACCATGAGTTTTAAGGGACTGTTTAGATTTGATTAGTTTTTAGTACAGTAGATTACATAGTGATTATTTTTATAATTAGATTTTCTGTTTTTTCAGTATTCTCTTTATAATTAGATTCTATGTTTTTTTCAGTATTCTCTTTATAATTAGATTTCATGTTTTTTCAGTGCTCTTTATAATTAGATTCTAATTACTGCTAATGTAGTTTTCTGAATCGACAAAAAAAAAAAAAAAAAAAAAAACTCTCATTAAATCGAATGGGATTTTTCATGTTTGGACAATTAAAAAAAAAAAAAAATTATTAAAATTAAATAAAAAAAGAATTGCGTAAAAATCGACGTTTTAGGCTACAATTTCATCCTTCTCCATGTGGCCGTAAATCGAAGCCAAGCATCCATAAACAGATTCTGCTTGTGCCAATGTCTTGTCTCCAGCCACAAACGATTCGATTCTCTTATCAACTTCGATCCAACTACAACCCGGGTTTTTTCTCAACCCCATTTCTTTCATCTTGAATCGAACCCCACGCGCCCCCTCCCAGTTCTTGTTCGCAGCGTACATCTTTTCAAGAACAACGTAAGTCGAAGAAGCTTCCGGAACCTTCTCGATAAGGAGCTTCGCAATTCTCTCCCCTAAATCAATTTCGCCGTGCAAACTGCATGCGGAAAATAATGTGCTCAACAATTCAACATCCCCTTCAGTATCGGAATTACTCTGCAGAATCTCGTGTGCTTCGTGCAACTTTCCAGCACGCCCCAAAAGATCGATCAGACACGAGTACTCTGCAGTGGTGGGCCGTATTTTATAATCATTCACCATTGAGTTGAAGTATTTTCTTCCCTCATCAACCAATCCCGCGTGGCTGCAAGCAGAAATCACCGCAAGAAAGGTGACTCTATCCGGTCTGATATGTCTCTGGAGCATTTCATCGAACAGTTTCGTTGCTTCGAACGCTTGCCCGTGAGAACCGTAGGCAACCATCATTGAAGTCCACGAAACTAAATCTTTTGTGGGCAGCTGATTAAATACAGCCTCAGCTTCTTTCACCGCACCGCATTTGGCGTACATATCGAGAAGTGCTCCCATTACCACTTCGTTGGAATTCAACTTAGCCTCGATTACGTGCTTGTGGAACTCTCTGCCTCTCTCCAAGGCAGCCAATTGGGAACAAGCTGCTAAAGTACTGGTAAGGGTAATTGCGTCGGGTTTTACATTCGCTGCTCTCATTTCGTCGTATATGCCGAGTGCTTCAAAGTAACACCCTGCAGATACGTAACCAGAAATCACCACATTCCAAGAAACTACATTCGATTTCGGCATTGTTTTGAAGACCCTTTCAGCTACTTCAACACTCCCACACTTGAAATAGAAATCGACTAGGGCACTTTCGACGAAGATGTCACTGAATACGTTGTTTCTTATGATGTAACCGTGCACGAATCTTCCGTGATGCAATTGTGCCGATTTTGCACAAGCCACTAGCAATGTGCTTATGGTTGTCGAACTTGGTGCCACTTTATCTTTATTCATCCTAGCTAATAGTTCAATGCACGACAAGCTGTCCCCAATCTGACAGTAACCTCCGATCATCGAATTCCAAGAAACCAAGCTCTTGTTCTCGATTTCGTCAAAAACCTCCTTAGCCCTCTCTAAGCAGCCACATTTTCCGTACAGATCAACAAGGGTAGCGCTAACATAAGCATCCATCACAAGCCCGTTTCTCACTATTTCGTCATGAATTCTCTTCCCTCTCTCCAAATCCAGCAGCCTTGCGCACGACGAGACCGACGTTGTATACGAAACCGAGTCGGGCCTCAGCCCAGCGCTCCCCATTTTCTCAAAGTACTCCAAGGCCTTCTCCCACTGCCCACTTTGATAGTAGCAAGAAATCACATTGTTCCAACACGCCAAGTCTCGTTCCGGCATTTCGTCGAACACCTTCACAGCTGAAGCGAAAAGACCACACTTTGCATACACGCCGATCAAAGAGCTCGCAATCACAATATCAGACAGAAACCCATCTTTCATCAAATGGGTATGAATCTTTTCCCCATAGTCCACTCTCTTCAGCCCGCCGCACGCCTTCAACAAACTCGGATACGTGTAGCTGTCGGGTTTCAAATAAGGGAACTGCAGCAAACTATCGTAGAGCAACAGAGCCGCAGAAAACATTCGATTCTTTGCGTACGCCGACAATAACCCGTTCCATAACGTGATGTCTAATGGGTTGTCTACATTTCGGAAAACTGAGTGCGCAGATTGATATGCGTCGCACGAGAAGTATAAATTGATGAGGTTTTTGGACAATGCTATGTTGTTCTGTAGGCCGAGAGAGATTGATTTTTGATGAAGTGATTGAATTTGTTTCAGCGATTTTGTGTTTGCGCAGGATTTTGAGAGAGAAAATAGTCTTGTTGCGATGTTGTCCATATGCAGGAGAAACTTTTCTAGGAGGGGAAAATTAGCTGAAGAAAAATCGAATGGGAAACTAATGCAAATGATCCATATTTCAAGGACCCCAGTCTAAATAGTCTTTTTTTTTTTTTTGTTTACTCTTGTCGTGTGGTGAAAATTGAAACGAAATATCCGAATTTCGTCGATTAGACGTGACCACAGTTGCGAGTTGAAAATATATTGACTTGTCATCGGCTAGGAGAATTGGCACTTCATTAAACGACCGATTCCGCGGTCCCGACTGATTCACCGATTTTCTTTAAGAATAAAAACAAAAAATAGAAACTAATGTTTTGAAAAGTTGGTTCAACGGTTTAATCTTTAGTTATACGATATTTTTCGCTTACATCGACGGTTAGAACTCCGAGTTTTCGGTTTGAGGGTATCTAAACAACAACCCACTAGTATTTCACGGGTCGAACAGGCCCGTGGTTATCTCTACTAGCTATTTGGGTGTGAAATTTTCTTTTTTTAGAAATAATATTTTTCACTCCAAAATCTGATGTGTCTTTTCTTTTCCATTTTCTTGGGGTTTGGAACTGGAATACGTACGAGATTCTGATTTTTTATTTATTTTAATTAACTCCAAGAATTCCAAAAAATATCGAAGATTACACATATAGTATCGTTTTTTTAATTACATTTTATATTATAAGTGAATACAAAAATTTATATTATAAGTGAATACAAAAATCGGATTCCAATTTCCTCCGGTTCTTATAAAAAATATTCCAATTTTTTGAACAAGTGTTTTCATTCAAATTTCTGAAATCACGATTTGTGATTTTTTTAATTATTTTTAAATGAAATTAGAATTAGCTTCACTTATTTTTTTTCCAAAAATACTCGGAATCGTCCGATTCCCACTCATATTTGCACCACTACTCTAATTCCATGGGCCCCATTATCTTTGACACACACACACACCTTGATGGTGCAAGACCCTACTACATTTGACCGTCGGAGAGCTTACCGGAAGTCGGATCTAGGGCCGACTGCAGTTGAAACAATGAACGGAAAATAAATAGTAAGAGCGAATTTGAGAAAAAAATGAGTATTATTCCTTGTTTTATTTTGCAAACAAAACCCCCTAATAGAGTTTCTTACACTTGTTTAAATATGAATTTTATGGATGTATCTTTCCAATTTAACGAATTATATATTTGTAAAAGTTTTATGCTGATTTTACTACGATCGTCCCCAATTTATATATTTCCCTTATCTTTATCATCAAACTCGTCCTTCTAACGGCTTATTGGTCAGCTCGCCACCTACCCCGTTTATTCCTTCTCAGTTCTCACGCAGCTCGAACCATAGCCAACATCCGCCTTGTGCGAACTATTCGTTCGTGAGCCTCGTACTATTGGGCTCTTCTTAAGCGACCTTCTAGCCCATTTTCGTTAAAACCCTTACTTGGTGGGCCCCACATCACACACGCACATTGTTTTGTTTGCTTTTAGCTGTCAACGTTGAAAACAAAGGAATACATATATAGTTTATTGCTTGTCTGAGTCAGCAAAACGTACACCAATAACAAATTGTACAGACAAACTACACTCTACAGCATTTTCATCAAGCTCCTCTGCCCCCCTGCTGCAGTTTTTCACCCCCTCAATTCGGTATGTATGTAATATGTAAACACACGTGTATGTATTTTTTTTTTTTTGGTTACTCTTGTCTGATTTGATGATTTGTTTCTTGGTGAAGGTGGTCTTTTTTAGTTCTTGAAATTGATCTTCTCACTGATGATATTATAATTAATGATTTGATTGTTCTGGAAATATTATAGTTGATATAGTTTGTGAACTGCACATTTGATTCATTTGATTCTTGATGATCATACTTCTATGTAACACGGACACGGAAACAGCAATACGGGAAAATGGGGAAACATACACGGAAAACGACATGTCCCAAAAATGGGGATACAAGAATCTGGGGGAACGTGTAAATATTAAAAGTATAGGAATATATTTATAAATATGCTATATAAACATGTAAGTTTTTATTTATATATATAATTTTTTTTTTATATATTTTGTTACAAATATATTCAAATAAATATTATAATCAACTATCAATCTGCAGTTGATCATTAAATTATGTAAATAATTTGTGAAGCAGCAAAAATATTTGAAAATTTGCTATTCAAGCATGTTTCTAACTTTTCAGAAATTACAAAATGGCCCATAAGTTGTCCGGCAAGTATCCTCGAATGTCGAACACGAAACGTGTCAAAAATGCTTATACGTTAAGAAGTTAAAGTTTTCGTGCTATATAGTCATAGTTGTATTCAAACTCAAATTTTACAACGCTAATCAAGATTCCCATGATAGAGAATATTCGATTTAAAGTTATTCTAGTTTCCATTACTCATTTTTGTTTCATAATTTTTCATTATGTGTCTCTCTTTTTTAATCACTCAATTATCCTAGTGCCAGATTCCGAAATGGACGGAGGTGATTCGAGTCGAAACATTCTATCGCGGTACAAAATTGAAAAGAGACTCGGTATCGGGACATTTGGTAAAGTGAAATTAGCTGTTCATTCATTGACCGGGATTAAGGTTGCAATTAAGATACTCGATCGCCGTTCAATCAATAATTGTGAAGCAGAAAAAGGTACAACGGTCATTTTTTTAAAATTAAATTTAAAAAATTTTAAATTAAATTTCGGTTATTTCAGTTAATATTATCAGTAATTTTTAAATTAATGACATCTTTTATTGTTCGTGTTGTTTCAGTGAGAAGAGAGATCAATATAATGAGACGACTTTCCCATCCGAACGTAGTTCGCCTGTTTGAGGTTATCGAAACACCGTCAAAGGTTTACGTGGTCATGGAGTATTTAAATTCCGGCGAATTATTTTATTATCTTATCGATAACGGAGGTCGACTAGACGAGGATGAATCTCGCCGCCTTTTTCAACAGGCATATAAATTTATATATATATATATAATCCAACACTACTAATGAATCGAATTTTGTTACACAAAATTTAGTTTCTGATTAAATTATTTTTTATTTATTTATTGCAATTTAGATAATCTCAGGCGTCGAATATTGCCATCGACACTTGGTTGTTCACCGTGACCTCAAGCCAGAAAATCTACTCATGGACTCGGAAAACAATGTCAAAATCGCCGATTTTGGTTTAGGGAATATTACGCGTGACGGGCATTTTCTTAAAACGTGCTGCGGAAGCCCGAATTACGCTGCCCCTGAGGTCTAATAACACATAAATTTTTAAATATTTATTACCATATATATAAATTTCAATCGAAATTAAATTTTATATTTTCGGTAGCTTCTAAGCAGAAAACTGTACGCGGGTCCCGAGGTCGACGTGTGGAGTTGCGGCGTGATCTTATACGCGCTTCTGTGTGGAAGGCTTCCCTTTGATGATGATAATCTCCCTAGTTTATATTCTAAAATAAAGGTGATTAGAAAATTAATAATTTCGATTTATCCAGATCGTTTTAACTTCATCTCGTATAAGTAGTAATTTTTTTAATTTTTTTCGGGGAGAGTAGATTGGAGTATATTCTATTCCGAATCATTTGTCGGAAAATGCACGTGATTTAATTTCAAGAATACTTGTGGTTGATCCGATGAAACGTATATCGATTCCCGAAATACGTAGTCATCCATGGTTCCGGAAGAATCTTCCGCCATACATTGCCATTTCATCACTTGGTGGTTTTAGTACAAGAGATAATAAGGTAAGTACAAATTTCATGCTACACTTATCGAAAAGTTTTCCGACATATTTTGCACGTAGATATAATTGTTTCGACTTCTGCTCGTAACATGTACAAGTTTATTTATTTACGTACATTCCTCGATTTTATTTTATTTTATGCAAAAAAAAAAAAAGATCGATGTTGAGGCCGTGAAAAAAATGGTGGAAATGGGATTTGATGCCCGTGAAGTCGTTGGATCAGTTCAGAATCGTCTGCAAAACGAGGTGGCGAAGCTTTTTCACTATATTTAATTTCATTTTTCTCATTTATAATTAATTAATTAATTATCCCTAAATCGAATATTATCTTTTCGGTAATCCAGGCTACAGTTACGTACTCTATCTTACGCCATGCCCGCTCTCAACGCCATGTCGATGCGTATGGTTGTAATCGAGAAACTCAAGTAAACTATTATTATTATTATTTTATTTATATAAATACGGTAATTACGGGGAAAAAATATTCGCTAAGCCGATTTTCCGATTCTCCGAATACATGCAGGAACACATGGATAATGTTCAGACATGTACACAATCAATTTGTCCTGATCACCAGAACAATAATTGGACACTCGGCTTTAAGGTAATAAATGTCGCAAGATTCGATTTTTTTTTTTGTCGGTTTTCTTTTTATTTATTTATTCGATCTCGATATTCAGTCGCAGGCATCGCCACATCAGACAATGTTGGATGTTCTAAATATTTTCCACAGCTTGAATGTAAGATGGAAGAGAATAGATAACTATAATTTGAAATGCCTGTGGTTACCTCTCAGATCTAACGACGCCATCAAGTTCGAAATTCAGGTGATCGAGTCGTACTTTCTTTTTATTTATATTCGTTTCAAATATCAACTGTCGTGATTTTTTAAATCAATTTTATTTTCTCAGCTCTACAAAGCAACCGAAGAATTCTACGTAGTGGACTTGCAACAACTAAGCGGATCTCCGTTTCTCTTCCTTAATATATGCGCATCTTTTCGCGCTCTTGTGGTGTAGTATTAATTAAACTATTAATACCCTACAATTATCTCTCCTAGTACCGATTTAACGATTTAAGGATGTATCGAAAAAAACTAAATGTATAAACGTAAACTCTCGTTTTATTCGAATCTTCAATGTCTTGTATAACTATTAAAAAAAAAAATTAATTGTCTCGTCCGGCATTTAAAATTATCGCAAAAAATGTACATCATACCGCAGCAACTGCACAATTTTCCCAATTACCGTATTTTGAACTGAAGTTACCTCCTCCCGTTTTCTTCGCAAATTCGTGAAATACTTCCCGAGCACAAAAATCCCACGCTCGAGCCATTTCTTTAATTGATACCGGCTCGGATATTTTCTTAATCGATAAACCGAAGTTCGACTTCGCCTTCTTCCACATACATTCATCACTGCACATCAAAAGATTCGGTACGCATCAAATTAATAATTTGTATCTTTCGAAATTAATGTAAAAAAAAAACGACGGATAAATGTTGTTTAAATTTCTCACCCACAACCAATAGGCATCGATTCCGATACAGTAGGAGACGAGTTGGGATAATCAGCAGTCACAATCAAATCCAGAAGCAGATGAGGAATATTCCTCGAGAATCCAACGGGAGTATACGAAAACCTAACGTGGGCCCCACCTTCGTCGCCCGCGTTCTTCACATCCACCACCATTTCAATAAGCGTTTGATGGATCTCGTTTTTCTCTTCCATCAGCACATCCATAACAAGCTATATAATTAAAACACGCATTAATTATATTCGATTTCGAATCGAGAATATTCTTTTTTTTTGCAAGAAGAATATTCAATAATAATTGCTTATTAATTAATAGTAAAAGATTACCTCTTTTCGCTGTCGCTTTATCATCCTATTCTCGCTCGAGAAAAATCCCGTTTCGTTCGGCATTTCATTTGATGCCACGCCATCCAGTTTACGCTTCATCTTCGAGTACTCCGTGCAAGTTTTATCAACAAGTCTCGAATTCCCATTGACGAAATTGCTGATGTCATCGCCCAAGTCGTGGAAAATGACTTTCATCGGTTGACCAAGAACAAGTTGTCCGCCTATAGCGTCGTTTAAAGCGACGACTCCTTTTATTTCAGACAATGCAGCAGTCAACGCTCCGGTCGAAACCGACTTCAGCTACAACATGCAATTGAAATGAAAATTTTCGATAAAAACCACGTAAAAAAATTTCATACCGAAAAAAAGAAAAAGAAAAAAAAAACGAACCACGTCGATTAAGTGCTTCATCGGTTCTTTTTCATCGCGGCGCGATTCTTTTTCCTCGGATAGGCAAGTAGATTCTCTCTCGACGCATTTTGACTTCGCTAACCCTAATGCCTCAGTAGTAATATCAAGCTTGGTTATATTATTATTGTTATTATTATTATTATTAATAATAATATTATTATTATTATTTGGCAATGGCGGCTCGACTACCGGCGTAGGAGAGACGTCGGGAAATTTGCTGCTCTCCTCAACGGAAAACGGACTCTTTCCCGAATCTGCCATTAACGGAGTACTCAGGGGAGAAGGAATCGCAAGTGGCGACGAGCACGTCGAAGGGGTTGCGGAAATCGAGAGCTTCGACGAACTCTGCGAATTCTGAGGAGAAACGGTTTTTTGATTCAACCCCACGAAACGCCTCAGCTGCTGCATCGGCTGCTTCGTCTTCATTCTCGCGGCCGACGAAGATAAATCTTGCTGCATGTTCGTCGCGCCGACGGAGTAATCCAACGAGTTGCACATGTTCCTCATGGCAATCTTCTGTGAAGCAATCGCCAAATTATTATTATTATTATTGCTGCTGTTGTTGTTGTTCGAAGAATGGAGCATCTTGGAAAGATTATTCCCGTGTGGGGCCCACATCTGAGGAGGAGCGGACCTCATCGGGCTGTACTGAACCGAGTTGACCATCGTCGACGACGAGGGATTCAGAATCGGGGTTTCCGGGTTAAGTCTTTGCTGCATGTGGGGGGTTGCTTCGGGGAACCAAGCTCTAGCCGTGTTGATAAACTTTACGCACCGGCTGATGTAATTACACACCTTTTCCTTCGGCAAACGTGAAATGTCCAACCTCGTACAATGTAGGAATTTAATCATTCTTTGCGAGGATTCTTTCGCGTACTGCCCTTTGCTGAGTTGCTCCGTCGTGGTTGCGTGGCGGATCGCTTCTGTTGATTTGTGGTATATCTTGGTCACCTCGGCTAAATAGTGCTCTTTCATCTGAAGAATCTGCCGTGGAATATTCCAAAGAATTTTTTATTTTTTTTTATTTTTATAAATGGCCGATCGAATAAATCGAGTTAGGTTAAAAAAGTCGAATGCGAAAATAATCGAAAATTATATATATGTATATATATAGATACCTTGTGGCATGCTTGATCTACCCAATCAACGGTATTTGTTGACATCATCTGAGGAGTCGATTCGGGTACTGCTTTGGAAGACAATAAAAAAATATATCAAGAAGAAAACGTTAATGAATATTCGGGAGAAATTAGTGTACCGATAGAAAAATGACGAAAAAACGAGAAACCTACAATCGAACTGAATAGGATCATTATTACTCGGAAAATAATTAAACACCAGTCTCGAATTTTATTTATTGACAGCTGGCGCTGAATCAACTATCCGAAGCATTTGTTGCACTCGAAAAAAAAACTAACGTAATTTCTATTACCGTTTTGATCTTTCTTTAGTTCGAAAGAATCGATTTTTTTCTTAAAGAAGCAACATGTAAATAAATTTGCATACATGATATAACTTTAGTTTCTCAAAAAAAAAAAAAAAAAAAAGGGAAAAACGAAATACGTACCTTGGAAAGGGGTAAGACGGGCGTTTTGCGAATGATTTCCAAGCTTCAATTGATCATTCATCGTAAAATTCTGAGGAAGATGAAAACCACTTTGTCTATCCAAACTTTTCAGAAACGTCGTTTGGTTATTATTGTGCTGAAGAACATTATACGTTTCTTGATGATGATGCTTCACCATCGGAGAAACCTAGTTATTCCAAAAAAAAATTAATTAATTAAATTAAGAAATTTCTTGTGTACAATATAAGAATTAACTGCGTCGCAAGATATTTCAAAAAACCGAACGAGAGAGAAAGACGTTTAAATACAACTACTGCAGAATTATATATTATACCTGCACTTGCTTATGTTGTTGTCTAGCGTAAGACGGATAATTATTATTCGACTGCATCGGTAATTGAAATATATTCTGTCCTCGATTTTGCAATAGTTGATGCTGCTGCTGCTGCTGGTGTAAATCCGAAACCGTGTTTGCCGAACTCTGATTATGCGAGAATCCTTGTAAATTATTACTAGTTCCTATATTCTGTCTGCCTGAACTATGATTAGGGTTTTCTGTAAACATTACGAAAAATATATTCGTGATCATTTACGAAATATATTCGTGATCATTTACGAAATATAATCTAGCATCACGAAAAAGATTTTCGTGATCATCTACGAAATGTAATCTAACATCACGAAAAAAAAAATCGGGTATAATAGTTACCTAAATTACGGCGCACCGAGTGCTGCTGCCACATGTTAGGATTAATGTTCGTCTGTAAACGATAAATCGCAAACTTAAAATCAATAAATTCTCAATCTTATTAATCAATAAATTAAATAATTATTGCAACTAAAGTATATATACACAAAGGAAGCAACTTACTGTATTTGCAGGAAAGGGCTTATTCTGTTGATTAGGGTTAGGATTACTCAGACTAGATGAAGGCAGAGAAACTCCTTCTTCTTTAACTATTCTGCACGTGGTTAATTTTCAGTTCAATTATCTCATCATAGATAATTATTAATTAATAGATTTTGAAAAAAAAAATGAGATAAAATCAAGAAATTTCACATAGTAATTTGAACCTCGAAGAACGAATTTACTTTTATTTTACGCATAAAATAAATTACAAAAAAAAAAGGATATACCTAATTGCATGCAATGTTACTGTACCAAAACCCTAGAACTCAAAACGAACGAAATCAAGATGCAAAAAGTTGCGATTTTTTTTTCAATATTTTTAATTTAAATAAGAAATAATTGAGAAAAAATATTAATAAAAAAAAACCCTTCTGAAAAAATCAGGACTTTTTTACCAGGATATGAATTTTAGACCTAATCCGATTATTAAAAAAAAAAAAAAACAATAAAAAGAAAAGAGAGAGTATACAGAAACAAAGATTAAAATTAATTACCCAAAATCGGCAGAATTATCAGGCAAGAGGTGTGTAATCCATTCTTGAATATCTGAAAATTCTTGTTTTCCTTTATCCATATCAGATCATCAAACTTTATTTAATTTTTTTATTTAATTTTTCTCTCTCAACCCACAAAAGATTCGATCTTAATTTCCAGTGGAGTTTACAATATTATTATTATAATGAGAGAAGAGAGAAAAAAGAAAAGTTCAGAGTAACGGAAAGAAAGCCAAGGAGCAGAAAGAAAAATATATATGGTATTTAATTTCTTGGATATACTATTAATTAAAGAATCTGAATTTTAATATATTGGGGTAATGTATTGAGAGACCGAGGAGAAAAATGGCCATGGTTTTAAGTATGGAAAGTTGAAAACGGACGCGTTAAAGTATTGGGGCTATGGTTTCAAATCGGGCCGGGCCGGGCCGGGCCGGATTCGGAGAAGAAAAAAATGGATTTTCTTTGTTTCTTTTTTCTTTTTTTTTTTTTTTTTTGTAAAAATTTGATTTCAATAAAAAAAAAATTGGAAATTGGAGGTTTATTTTGGTTTTGGAAATTTTAGGATTTTTTGAATTTTCGGAAATTATGTTACACGGGTATATTCTCGAAAAGAAAATCAGGAGGAAAAAAAGAATATTATGTCAGCTCTAGGGGAAGTTCTGCCTTTGCGTTCGAGGGTTAATCTCCGTCCGGCCCGAGGAAACGTTTGCACGGCTTCGTTATCTTTTGGGAGGCCTACGCCCCCCATAGAATTTTGCTCCAATCATATAAGGTTTGAGGAATATTAAAAAATAAATAACCGGATTGATAAGTAGGATTTCAATATTTACTGATATTATAACTAATGTGAAATTATTTTTGTGTTGAAATTTATTTAATTATTTGGGTCATTAACTTATTATATATTTTCGAGATTGAGATAGTTGTTTGGACTTGTCTAAAGTATCTATTAAACTAGGTCAATCTATTTTAGGGCTCAAACTAGTATTTAGGCAAAACTAAAATATGATTTGACTGTGGAAATTAGATGGATTAGATTAGAATTAAGATTTTCAAGAAGAAAAAAACTATTGAAAAAATGTAAATCAAAATTTCAATAATTGGAATTAAAAAAATTGATACAAAAATCTAATTTCAATAATTGGAATTCAGAGTTTCCATTTTTTTAGTCAGATAAAAAAAGTACATAATAGTCATGATATTGTAAATGTAATTTTCCGCAAAAAATAAAATTGAATATTTCAATTCCCTAAAAGTCGAAAATCAACATTTTCGGGATAAGAAATGAAAAATATTGACCTAAAATAAATAAATAAAATCCGATCGAAATTCGGAACTTCATTCCAATTTTATATGACCATGATGTGCAAAGAAATAAATCTTTACTTCAAATTTTATATAATTTAAAATTTTATTTCGGTACCCAAATTATTACAGCTAAGATGTTTTGGATTAGGGTAAATTACAACCACTTTCAGTTTCATGAGGTAAAGTGTAATTACCAAAGAAAAACCCTTATTTTCTAAAAATTACACCTAACCCCTACAGTTTGTAAATTTCTTACTTCCACCCCCTATAAAAATGTATTAATATAAAAAATCTACAAATTGTTGGGTGAATGTAATTATGAAAATATAAGGACTTTTTTGTAAATTGACCTATTGTAATCAACCCTTTGGATTATTATACTCAATACTCAATATATAGTAACACACATTATTAACACGCGGTATTAGAGATTTCTTGCATGTATTTTAATAAATTTACTTTAATAAATTTATAACAGGTTAATGCAATAAAAAGATGCAATAAACAATACATAAAATCATAAAATAAAATATTTAAATAGATTACAAAACATAATAACATTAGATACTGAGCTAGATAATCAGGCTTTAAACATTCATTACATGATTGAAAGTTTCATCCTAATTTCTTTTTTAGGATAAAAAATATTATAACAATTAGACTTTCAATTTAGGGAGACTTTCAAAACGAAAAAATACACATCAGATTACAGTTGGAAAATTAACACGTCATTAATTTGCAAATGCTGTAAATATTACATGGATCGTTTAAATAAATACATAGATAAAGTCAAGCAGCTGTCAATGAGAAAATCCTAGGTTTCGTTGACTTCTTTTTTCTCCTTATTACCACCATTTTTAAGTTGGATTTCTTGAATTGATTTCTCACTCTTCTTTCATATGGTGTTTCTTTTTTCTATTTACTTAGTAAGTTAATTATACCGCACGTGCGAACTAAATCATTTTTCTCCAAACCCATAATTTTTCTTGGTCAAAAAAAACATATACAGGCAAAAAAATCATTTAGCGAAATATTAAATTATCGAATTAATAGTTTAGTGTGTTTTTACCGAATCGGGACTGAAAGAAATTATTTAACAAGCGAGGTTATTAATTTATCAAGGTTCTGTTCATGTAGTTGTTTCGTTTGTGGGTTAAATCTCCGAAACAAAATGAAGTATAAAATTGAGGGAATTAAGAAAAGAATTACACTCAAATTAAATATGTTTTAAATATATTTTATATTACATATACCTAAAGAGAAACATAAATATTAGTCCATTTACTATAAAGTTTTCTTGGAGATGTGCATTAGTTTACTTTTTGGAGTTTGTAACAATTCATTACTAGAGTAAGAAGAATGAAGAAACATAGATAATTCTATGTAATATAATATAACATAAAATCATAAGAGAAAACAAAATAAAAGAACAAATAGTAATTTATTCATTATTGAATTGAAATAAAAAAAACAAAAACAAACATAGGATCATAAATCCTGGACCTCTTACAACTCAGACACAACATGACACTTCAAAAACGAAAAACACGAAAATTAAAAGAACACAACAATGGAGACTGACTCTGACTCTGACGCTGACACTGACACACTGACGCTGACGACTGAAAAGAAAAAAAACGAAAACAAACTTATAACATAGGATGAACAGATCAGAGTCTGAGAGACAAATCCATCTCAGAATCTTCATCTTGTTCATCAGTACGCTCATTCGCGACGACCAACTGCAGGTTCCTGTTCCCTCCACCGGGGTTCATGTTACCGGGCCTGATTCTCGGCCCACCACCAATGCCCAACGACAAGCCCGGATTGAAAACGGGCCTCATCATTGCACCACCACCACCGTTGCCTCCGGTCGCCGGAGGGAGACGGAGATGATTGTTATTCATAACCTGAGCCTGATGATGGTTCTGCTGCTGCTGCTGCATATAGGAGGACGGTTGCCCCTGGTAATAATTATAAGGATTATTAACCCTAGGAGCTGGCGGGCCGGGCCGGGCCTGGACCGGGGCGGGGCCCGCCGTCCATCCGGGGTTGTAAACATTGTTATACCCCGGCAATGGGCGAGAAGGAACAAAGCCCGGCGGATTATTGTACCGCATTTGAAATGCATTTTGCTGTTGAAATGCATTTTGCTGCTGCTGCTGTTGGCGCTGCTGCTGCTGCTGCTGCTGTTGCTGCTGATGTGGCGAAGTGTACGGCCAGTTAACTATGGACCTGTTCATAAAATCATGAGATCTATTGAAAGTAGATCCAAGAAAATTGGGGTTAGTACTACCGGACGGATTACTCATCATCATCATCAACCCGGTGAAGGTCGCCGGATCGCCGGCGCCGGAGGGGCCCGCACCGCCTACGGTGTAGGCGAAAGGGTTCTCCTGCCGGACGATCGGGTTCTTCTCCATGGCCCGCTCCATCTTATGGGCGTTCTGATGTCCGCCCAACGCCTGCTTGTTGCTAAATTTCTTGTCGCAGTATTTGCAACCGTACTCGCGGTCGTCCTGAGGCTGCGGTATCAGAACCTGAACCGGAGCCTCTGGAGGATTCGCATCTGCGGCCGCCGCCGCTGGGGCGGGGGCCGCAGGAGCAGCAGGAGCAACAACAATAGCATTAGCAACATTAGCAGCAACAGCTTCCTCGGGACTCGAAGGGTTGACATTCGAGTCGTCGAGGGGCCGTTTGGGGTTTCGGGTGGGAGAGGAGGAGGAATCCATTGGAGAGAGAGAGAGAGGAAAAGAGAGGGGAGAGAGATTACTAGAGGGTTTTTAATGTTTTTTCCTTTTCTTATTGTTGAAAGAGAAAAACTGAGGTGGTCTAAACAAGGACAAGAAACCCTGCATTTATAGTTGGAGAGTGTGTGTGTGTGTGTGTGTTTTTCATGTGTGATGTGCAATATCAGATTGCATGGTGCTAACATGGAATTTTTTTAAATACGCCCTCAGCCACACTCCACCACTTGCAAATTTAATTAATATTACAAGAAACTAAAAATTAAAAAAAATAAAAAAAATTGCCTCAATATTTCAAATTTACAACATTTTTTAGGGTTGTACCTTAAGGTACAAGTTGACGAAGCAGTGGTTGTGGAAGAATTGCATGGCATCATACTTAGAGATTGACAGCTGACTCGAAATTAGATTCTCTGATTTTTCTTTATTTATTTTTATTTTCAAAATGAAAGTCATGTGTGTAACGTAATAAATGACGTCATAAATGATTATTGTTATTTTTGCAAGTGGGGGAATTGATGCCATCTCGTTAGCAATATTGCATTACACTAATTATCTATTGTATGCTGGGAATTAAAGTGGCACCATTAATTAGATTGGATGTGTTCAATTTGTGTGATGCAATTTGAAATTATGACATCAGGAAAGAGATGTAGATTGTACATACAGCATTCAATTTTATTGATACATTTGAAGGGCTTCTTTTCTAGGGTTAAATCTTGAATTATATGTGAAATAATGTTGTGGAAGTATAAGTAAAACTAACTTTAATTATATATTCGTACCGTGATAATGTTCGTATTTGTTCGTACGATACGGTTATAATATTCATGATATGTACGGTCGGGGTCGGTTTACTTTAAACCTAATTTAACTGCTTATTTTACGCGTGTCAGAATTGTTTTAAATACTTTTGTTTAATTAAGTCGTGTATCGCATCTAGTACCATTATAAATATCCGTACTTCTCATTGCACTTTATTTATTTATACGGTCGAGAAGTAAGATATCGTTACAATATTTCATAGTTGTTTTACCCGAATTACTAAAAACTGACTTAATTGTTTATATTACGCGTGTCGAAAACTTTTAGTAGTTTTGTTCTATTATGCCGTGCATATCATCCAGTATCATTATAAATATCCGTACTTCTCATTGCACTTTATTTATTTATTTATTCGGTCGAGAAGTAGGATATCATTACAATATTTCATAGTTTTGTTTACCCGAATTACTAAAAACGGACTTAATTGTTTATATTACGTGTGTTGAAAACTTTTAGTAGTTTTGTTCTATTATGTCGTACATTTCATCTAGTATCATTATAAATATCTGTACTTCTCATTGCGCTTTATTTATTTATTTATTCGGTCGAGAAGTAGGATATCGTTTTAATATTTCATAGTTGTTTACCCGAATTACTAAAAATGGACTTAATCGTTTATATTACGCGTGTCGAAAAATTTTAGTTTTGTTTTATTATGTCGTACGTAGCATCTAGTATCATTATAAATATCCGTACTCATCATTGCACTTTATTTATTTATACGGTTGAGAAGTAGGGTATCGTTATAATATTTCATAGTTTTGTTTACCCGAATTACTACAAACTGACTTAATCGTTTATATTACGCGTGTCGAAAACTTTTAGTAGTTTCGTTTGGTTATGTCATAGTTTTGTTTGATTATGTCGTGCATAGCATCTAGTATCATTATAAATATCCGTACTTCTCATTGCACTTTATTTATTTATTTATTTATTCGGTCGAGAAGTAGGATATCGTTATAATATTTCATAGTTTTGTTTACCCGAATTACTAAAAACTGACTTAATTGTTTATATTACGCGTGTCGAAAACTGTGAGTAGTTTTGTTTTATTATGTCGTGTATAGCATCTAGTATCATTGTAAATTTCCGTACTTTTCATTACACTATATTTATTTATCCGGTCGAAAAGTAGGATATCGTTATAATATTTACCCGAATTATTACAAACTCACTTAATAGTTTATATTACGCGTGTCGAAAACTTTTAGTAGTTTTGTTTTTTATTACGCCGTGCATAGCATCTAGTATCATTATAATTATCCGTACTTATCGTTGCACTTTAATTATTTATTTATATGGTCGAGAAGTAAGATATCATTATAATATTTCATAGTTGTTTTACCCGAATTACTAAAAACTGACTTAATTGTTTATATTATTCTTGTCGAAAACTTGTAGTAGTTTTGTTCTATTATGTCGTGCATAGCATCTAGTATCTTTATAAATATCCGAACTTCTCATTGCACTTTATTTATTTATATGGTCGAGAAGTAGGATATCGTTATAATATGTCATGGTTTTGTTTACCCGAATTACTACAAACGGATTTAATCGTTTATATTACGCGTGTCGAAAACTTTTAATAGTTTTGTTCTATTATGCCGTGCATATCATCTAGTATCATTATAAATATCCGTACTTCTCATTGCACTTTATTTATTTATACGATCGAGAAGTAGGATATCGTTATAATATTTCATAGTTTTTCTTACCCGAATTACTAAAAACTGACTTAATCATTTATATTACGTGTGTCGAAAACTTTTGATCATATGTTTGATTATGTCGTGCGTAGCATCCAGTACCATTATAAATATCCGTACTTCTCATTGCATTTTATTTATTTATATGGTCGAGAAGTAAGATATTGTTATAATATTTCATAGTTTTTTTACCCGAATTACTAAAAACTAACTTAACCGTTTATATTACGCATGTCTAAAACTTTTAGTAGTTTTGTTTTATTATGTCGTGCATATCATCTAATATCGTGTACTTCTCATTGTAATTTTACGTACAATTTGATTTAGTACGGACATTATCACGATAACTTTATTTCGAACCATACCTCTATATTAATATCCGTACCATGTTTAAATTAATATAAATCAACTTAATCGATTTTACTACGCGTGTCGATTTTTTTTTATTTTTTATTTTAATGTATAGCATCTAATTGCACTTCTCCTTGTACTTTTATTTTATAAATAATCAACAAAATTTTGTTCAATTCATACAAAATCAAAGAGAAGAATTGGATACATCAAAATAATTAATTTTGATGACCGATAAATTTACATAATTCTTTTTTATTTATTTCTATAATTTAATGTATAGCATTCAAAATCGTAATTGGTATGTGTACTTTCTCATCGCACTTTATTTTATAAATAATCAACAAAATTTTATTTAACTCATTCAAAATCAAAAGGAGAAAATTGGATTTTTGATTTTTGATTTTTGTTATCAATACTTCAAACTAATTAATTTTAATGACCAGTAAATTTATATAATATAACAAAATATTTCAGATATTATAAGACAACGACTTTAGTCAAACATATAGAAACTGAATTATTACACACTTGAGATATTGCTATATTTAATTTTATATTATAAAAATAGGATTTATATTCATTTAATTTATAACTTTTTTCCTAGTCCCTCTTCAAACATAAAATATTTATCTATGATTAATAGAATGAGATTATTAGTGAGAACCCCCAATACATTAGGATATATTATGATGGATCCGCTTCCTTTTTAAATAATAGTGAAACACCCCTTAATTGTTTAATTAAATCAATATTTATATAATTATTAGGTGTTATACCTATATTATCCCTAATTAACACATAAAACCCTAGCCACGTCTTTTTTACCTAGTTACAGCCGTTGTATCGTCAAATATTATCTCCATCTCTTCTTCTCTTCTTCTCTAACTAGAAATCTGCAGCGTCGGAGGCGGTGGCAAGGAGAGGAAGAAGGCGGCACCACATCTCGACAACGATGAGGGAAGAACCCCACAACCGCACTGCGGCCGCCACTCCTCCATTACACCTCCGCCTGACTTCCACTCCAATTCAGATCTGCACCATCGTTGTCATCTCATGTCTTCCATGTCCGCGATTTTAGGGTTTCGTTTGGTTGAAGATTGGATTAACAGGTTGTGGCAATCTATATTTTGTTTTTTTTATTCGTTCTAGGATTTCTCTCCATTCTCGAGTTCCAAGGATGATGTGAGGAGGGCCATTCTAATTGATTTTGCGGCAATGATTCGTCTTCCTCTAATGCTTGGATCTTGTTAATTGAGGAGCAATTTTCTGAATTTTTTATTTGACTATTTTTTATGTTGGGTATGTTACACAACAATATAGTTGTTTTCGTTATTCTGCTTTTTGTTTATAGTTGTTTTCGAGAGTTTTTAGTTGTTTTCGACATTTTTAGTTGATTTCTGGTTTTTTTGGTAGTTGATTTTAATTTTTTTTATTGTTTTTTGCAATAATATGATCTGCTGGAAATATAAAATCGAAAAAAATTGAATTCAAAAAATGAAAAAAAAATTGTACTTCATTTATTTTTAGTTGTTTTCGACGTTTTTTAGTTGATTTCAATTTTTATAGTTGTTTTCAATAATATGTAGTAATTTGTCGATTTGGTAAATCAGCTGAGAAAAAAAAACCGAAAAAATGAATTAGAAAAATTGAAAAAATAATAGTTGATTTTGCAAATAATGTAGTTGTTTACGGAAATATTATATTTTATTAGGGAAATAAACGAACAAAAAAATAATTTTTTCAGTAATTTATAGTTGATTTCGGAAATAGTTGATTTTAGAAATAGTTAATTTTAAAAAAATATATAATTATTTTCAAAAATTATAATCGATTTCAAATAAAAAACTGAAAAAAATCAAAATTAAAATCGAAAATAAAATTAAAATAAATATTTTTAAATAAATAAACGAATATTATAATTTAAAAAAATTAAATAGGCATTAAAGTAGTTGAGAGTGAATAATAACGAATGTAGGGTAAATTTGACAATAAAAAAAAGTTGAATCTATCACTAATAAAAGAAAAGGGGTTGGACCCATCTTTATTAAAAAAGTGATAGAGGGAGTTCTCACTAATAGTCCCTAATAGAATTAGTAAATAAATATAGAGTAAATTAGGGCACCCCGAGGTAAGGTCAAATTACGAAAAAACCTCTCTTGTTTGGGTAATTACAACCACACCTCAACTATGAATCTTTTAACACGTTGACCTTTGTGCTGTAAAATTTAGTGGAATCTTTTAGATTATGTGGAATATTCTCCAATTTGTACCCGTTTTACCCCATTTGAGTTCCACATTTTGAAACGAGTACAAACAGGAGAATATTTCACACAATCTAAAAGATTCGACTAAATTTGACACCGCAAGGATGAATGTGTAAGAAGATTCATAGTTGAGGAGATTAGTTGTAATTACCCAAATTTGAGGGGGGTTTCGTAATTTGACTTTACCTTCAGAGGGGTGAACGTAATCTTTGACCGTCAATCTTTGACATATATAGTTTTGCTTTGGCGAATTTTTGAGTGACATCTCTTACGACTTTCCAGTGACATTTCGACAACTTTTGGGCGATTTATCTATGATATTTATAATATCATATGTATTATATCTATGTAAATTAAAATTATAATTTTTAATTTATCGATTTCAATCCAAAATTTCCAATCCTAGAACAACTGTTGAATTTCAAATTATCGGAATTTATTTTGGAACAAAATTAGAATTAGTTATTCACTTCCAAAAAAAATCGAATACGTGGATTATTTCACCCGTTTTAACACACTAATTCTAGAAGAGCTAGTAGGAGAAGACATAGAAATAAAAGAAATAACTAAGAAATGAAGATTAAGTGATGAAAATAAAAAAAAAAACATTACAATAAAACCCCTCATACACAACAACTAGTACAAAACGGTCATGCTTAATTATTCCGAACAAATATAACAAGTTACCCCCTCATGAAACAATATTATTACAAATTTACAATCATACCCGAGAGTAAAAATGGTATTTTTTGAGGAATATTCAACGGAATCAACAAGATTCCTTCAAATTCACATACAGTGTACGAATGCAACAAACTTTAGGGTCTCTTGGTAATTATAAACATGGGAGGGGGTTTTTCTGTAAATAGACTTAAGTAAAGGGGCTTTCTTGTAAATTACCCAAAAACACAATCAATAATAAAGTACTTAAATAAATCAAATTCAACTGCACAGAAGAATTCGAGCTTTTTCTTTCCCTCCTTTTCATCCTCTCCAATTGCCTCCAGTTCTAGGTAATGAAACCGTAGTTTATGAAAGCTAGTAAATCCTCTCTGCTGTAGAAACTGGACGTAAAAAGACTACGATAACCGTGATATTATCTTTGCTGCCTCGTTCGGCAGCTTCAGTGGCCAGTCTCTTCGAACACATTCCTGCCTCTTTTACTGTGTCTCTTATTATACTTACAACCTCTTCGTTTCTCATAACATCCCATAGCCCATCACTCGCCATCACCTGAAATATATATATATATATTATATATATTCATTATTATCAGCTTTTACGGAAAAAGAAAGGGAAAAATACAGTTTTCATCCCTCAAGTTACTGATTTCACATTTAGTCCCTCGTGTTCACAAAAACCACATTTGGTCCCTCGTGTTTCAAAAATTCGACATTTTTAGTCATTTTCGTTGATTTTCCGGTAATACTAACGGAATCAAATATGTGCCCAACAATGCCTTAACTGGCGAAGTAACATTAAATTGACGGAAAGGACCAAAAATATTTAATTATTGAAACATGAGGGACTAAATGTGTTTTTTGTGAACATGGGGGACCAAATGTGAAATCAGTGCAAACTTAAGGGATGAAAACTGTAATTTCCCCAAAAAAGAAATATATAGTAGCACACTTTCATTCCTATGCTTTTTCGGGTAGTTTTTCTTGAGGTCATAATGAACATGGAAACTATTTACTAATAACTGAGGTTAAGAATTCTACATATGCAGAAAAGATAATCAACCAATTAAGAATTATATGGAGGGTAAAATTGCACAAAAGCCCCTTTTGGTTTGACTGTTTGCAGAAAACTCTTCCGTAGTATAAATTTAATGTCCAACCCCTTACGTGGTTTTCAAGGAGCTACGATCGTGAGCTCTGTTAATGTAATGAACATTTAAATGACGATTACGTCCCTCGACTGTCCATCTATTTGCATTTGATGCCATGGAGTAAAAGAAAAGGGCATTTTGGGCATCTATAGCTGAATCGAGAGGAATATATGTTGATGGAAAACTTACTATATATTCATCTTCAGCTGATAGCAAAGTTTCGGTTATCTCGGGTTCCGCAGTTACAAATGGCTTTAAATCATCGTCGCCAATTGATCTCGTAACCTATGTGGATGAAATATTTACCAAAGTAGAAATTACGATAATAATCATAAATATCATCAAGTTGCACGTATTTGCATGACGTAGTTATCAAAAAATACGTGCAAGGAAATTTATCAAAAAATCTTTTTTTTTTCAAATAAAACCTTCTATTCCAGAATGGAAATTGGTCCATTATGATTTACAATAATGGTCTAAAATACCGAAAAAATAAACTCGTGAGGTTTCAAAACGAGAGTGCTCGTGGTTTCAAAATTTCAATACATAACTAACGTTTCAAGTGAAAGTTTCGATAATAGAATAATAACCTGGAGAGCAAAAAAAAAATGAAATAAAAATAAATAAAATAAAATAATAACCTGGAGAGCAGCAGGACCGATCCTCCATGTGTCGACTTGCCATTTGACTTGTCCGCCTGCACCTATAACACGTTCTCTCTCCTCGAGACAACTAGCCACATGATCCTAGTATATCGAGCCCATTCATTAGGTTAAAGCCTTTTTTTCAAAAATTAACAAAAAAATAATAAAGAAAAATCCCGATCTCACCCTGGTTAAAGCAAAAGGATTTCCTGCACGACAAATAATTGTTCTGCAATCACCGGCATTAGCAACAAATAATTTGTCTTTAATTACGAGAGCAGTCATTGCAGTACAGCCAGGGTGCCAGTCCTTTTGAATAACTCCCTTCGATTTGCGACGAGAATTTAGTTCGTTCCTAAATGCAATATCAGTCTCGACAAACGCTTCGACCAGTGCTTGAGATGGACTGCACACGTTTGAAAAAAATAAAATTAAATATTTTAAAAATGTTTCATTAATATTCAGTTAATTTAATCACATGCAAAAAGAACAAAAAAAAATGACAAGAATAATCGTCGGTTTTTTACCTGCTTTTTGAAACAAGAGTTCGTAAAAATCCAGGTAGAGCTCCAGCTGAAAACTCGGCGGCCGCAGCACCTGTACATAGTATGAGGATTTATATTTTTTATTTTCATATTTATTGTCACAAACACAACATCGAGTGAAATAAGTGTGTAATACTCTAATTCCAATTTTGCACTCATAAAAAGGGTTTATTGCATACAGCACCCCTGTTTTTACTCTATTTGTTAAAGAAAATCCTTGTGTCATTAATATTATCATAAAAAACTTCAACTTATTTACCAAACTACCCCTATAAGTAACATCATCATTAAGGGAGTTGGGTGATGAAAAAAATGCATTCGGGGGGTTGCAAATATTAATAACATGGGGACTTTTAGTAATTCAACATAATAGAGGGGTACTAAATGCAATAAACTCTCCATAGAAAACTCCACATACCTCGATGACCATCCAAAATCCCGAAGAAATGGATATCCTTTTCATTACCAAAATTAGGTTTCATAAAGTGGGTGTCCTCCATTGTTTCTCTTCTCCCACAAGTTGAAAACGAACCCCAAGAAAGAACCGGACAATAAACCCTAGCATCATTTGTGGAAACGAGATCCTCAAATGAAATACAAGCTGTCTCTGAGAAATCCAGGCCGTGGCTGTACCAATTTATAGGTTCTTGAAAACTTCGAATACTATTCGAAAAATCCAACTTCTCATCTGTTTTTTCTCCACGTCCGAGCATCGAATCGAGCTCCAAAACGATGTCATCGAAAGTGGGTCGATTTTGAGGATTCGAATCCCAACATCTCTGTATTAGAGAGAGAAAATCGGTTGATGCACCAGAATCGAGACCCGCAAGAACGGGTCGTAATCTTTCGGAAACCACAGCTGCAGTGAGTTGTTGTTCGGTGTAGTTCATTTCCAAGACTGTGTGAGCCTGCAGATTCGTATATATTATAAATAATTAGTAAAAGGGTATTTCATAATGAACTTTTCAGAATCAGAATACGGGTTCTATATTAATAAAAGGATAAAAACCGTGAAGTTCGATAATTACATCCTAGTCTTGAATGTAGTGAAATAAAAGGAGCAAACGGAAGAAAGAGTAACCTGTGCTTCTGCTCGAAGATCGGTATACGGTACTACACCAGTAAGAAGTTCGCTGCAATACGCACAAATCCAAATTTATAATCAATATACTCATTAATCGAGCTAACTTACATTTCTTATCACCCAAAACAAAAAAGTAGACTAAGAAGACTAATGAAGAAGCTATCTCGATTCTTAATGACTTATATAACATTGCAACTTTTAGTATAGAATAATAAATTGCATTATTAAACTCGCTCTAAATATGGATCGATTGTAATTAGTAAGCCGTGACTCGAGAATTAATTTCTCAACACTTCATATTTATGGAATATACGAACCAGTTTGCAGCCAGTCCTTACTTAACAGTGATTCCAAAACTATAGACATCCGACTTTTCCGTTTGAATCTCTTTAGTGAGCACTTCGGGTGCCATGTAAATAAGCGTGCCGACCATATTCTTTTTATGGAAACCGCCGGTCGGTTTGCCAGAGGATTTCCAGTTCTTAACAGAAACTTGTTCTAGATCTTTCTTGTATTCTGCCAAACCAAAGTCTGCTAGATGTGGATCAAGATTCTCGTTTAGCTGTATCGAATCCATTAGTAAACTATCAGATTTCGTTTAAATTTAGATGCATTTATTTTAATGTTTTCAAAATTGACCAAGAAATTATTGAAGACTTTACGAGAATATTTGCCGGTTTCACGTCCCTATGTAATATGCCAAGGTTATGCAGATATAGCAGAGATTTTGCTGCAAACAGAAAGCATGAAAAATTAATCGTAAGATATTTGGAACGATGAGATTAGAGAAGAAAGTGGTGAATAAAAATAAGTATAAAGCGAACGTATGATCCTTATTTTACGAAAAGATCAAGGTAGATTATATTACTAAAATTGAAAAAAATTTGCAGTTTCAAGAAAATTAATCGACAACAAAACCTACACCTTGAAGTATTATATCCATCTTTTAATTGAGTTTTTGTTTCGACTCGTATAAAATATCCAAATATTTATGTATTTTTATCCACTAGTATATATTTTGTACGACCGAGAAATAGCAAAACTTAATCGAGCGTAGATTTTATCACCAATTAACTTATTATTGATTACATGAGAACAATAGAAAGCATTCACTTACATATAGAAAGCATTCAATTATTCACAACCAAGATTAACCACAATTTTAGATACATATTGAAATAATCTTGAAACACGTAAGGGTAAATTAGTCATTACGTACATAGATACGTCGAAGTCGCATGCACATACCTAACTGAGAAGTGATTTCAATCACTTGACCAATACTCGGACTCCATTCTTCCACGTGCAGTTTCTGAGCAAGGTTTCCGATTTCGTAGAAATCGAAGAAAAACATGTAATTTGGCGGCTTAGCATGTGCCGCCACTAGCTTTAGTATCCCCGGGTGATCCAATTTGCTTCAAAATAAATTTAAACATAAATCAAATTTCAAAGGATGTTCCGAAAACAAAAAAAAACTAAAGAATGTACGAATTTAAATTACACAATAAAGAAAAAAACAATTCAACATGAAAAATCAAAAAACAAAAAGGGTTCTAAGTTCTAACATCAAATCCAAATAATAATAATAATAATAAAATTAATAATAAATAAATAATTGCTCCCCATCCCATTAAAAAAAATATTAAATAAATAATTAAATAACCTGAGTAATTGCAACTCTTTGTGGAACTTATTTAGGTCATCGGAAGTAGAAATAACTGGTTTTTTTACGGCGACTTTTCTACCGTCGAGAATTGCTTCATACACCACACTCTCTGCACCTGCATTTATACATAAATAATAATTAATTAATTAAATTAAATTAAATTAAATTAATTAATTAAACACAATTCATATTTATGCAGTTAATTATTAATAAAGCAGTTATGAAAACATAAATTTAAGGGTTTGATTATTAGGTTACATACCTCTGGCGATTGGGGAAGAAAGGGAATAAGAAGAAGGGTGGAGATGGAGAGGGATTGTTTGGCTGTGGCAACAACCTCGTACACATGTGTTTGGTTCCATGATTTCCAGAACCATTTTTCTTCAATTTCTCTGATTTTTTTCTTCAATCTTTTGTTTTGCACATACTGTTGTTCATGTGGTTTTTTAGAGGATGAAAATGGATGTTGTGCGACGTCGTTTTGTTTTGATACATTTTTATTCATTTATTTCTATTTCCCTTTTTTTTTTTTAAGTATTGTTTCTTTCAGATTTTTAATTTTTTTATTTTTATTCAGCTTCATTGCGCACTTTAATTTCAAATTCATCAAATATTCGATCTCAATTCTCTATTTTAAATTAATAATAAATTATTAAGATATTTTGATACTCGTATAACAGTCGTTTGGCATGGAGATTCGAGCATTGATCAATTAATTATTAAAACAAACTCACTTATTCTAAGTGTTAGGTTATTGTTTTCGTTACATTTTGGATCGCATTCTTTCTTATATGTAAAAAAAGAAATTAATTATTTTAATATGTAATATTTATTCTATAATTATTTGCAGTTGTTACCTAATTTTCAACATGCAAATAATTTGTCCTTGAATAATAAAATAAACAAGTAACAAGTTATTAAATTGCTAAATTGGTAATATAATATAGCGTTAGCCAGCTTTCTGATCTACTATGTAAGTTATTACATGTTGGTTTGCATGTTCTCTAACAAAACTTTCTGGAACTAACATTTTTTAATTATAATTTTGGATCCAATTCTTTTCTTTCAAATATTATATTTTTTCTTTCTGAGAATTACATTTATAATCTCAACATTATTAAATATTTTATATTACAAGTGAATAAAAAATATAATGGGAAAAATAGAGTTTTTATCCCTCAAGTTTGCACCGGTTTCACATTTGGTCTCCCATTTCCCAAAAAAAAAAAAAAAAAAAAAAAAAAAAAAAAAAAAAAAAAAAAAAAAAAATTGGTCTCTTATGTTTCAAAAATTCAACATTTTTAGTCATTTCCATTAATTTCCCATAAAACTAATGAAAATCAAGCGTGTGCTCATCACTGCCTTAACTAACGAACTAACGGAAAATTTATGGAAAAGACCAAAAGCATTATATTATTGGAACATGAGGGACCAAATGTGTTTTTTTATGAACATAGAGGACCAAATATGAAATCTGTACAAACTTGAAGGATGAAAACTGTAATTTTCTCAAAATATAATATATGAATGGGGTTATTTTACATACCCCAAGCCCAAATCATCCTTTGACATACCCCTGGAGAAGCGAAAGTACTATACTACCCTTATATGCAATTTTCGGCCAAAACTGCATTCAACATTTCTGGTCCTGCATTTATCATTTTAGCTGATTTATTTATTATTATTTTCCTTTTTTTTTAATAATTAACCTGTTTGTTATATATATATATATATATATATATATATATATATATATATATATATATATATATATATATATATATGTATATGTATGTATGTATATATATATATATATATTTTTTTTTCATTTTTTTTAATTTAAAAAAAATTAATTTTTTATTTTTTTTCATTTTTATTTTTTTTAATTTTCAAAACAATATGTTTACTGTGTTGAAAATAACTACATGTAACTATAGTAATTCGTAATTATGTTCGTTTTTTTCCCCATATTTTTAGTCGATCAATTGTATACACCAAGGTTGTAAAAAGCGGTAATCGGGTCCGAGTCGGTTAAGCACCGACTCACGATTAATCGGTGCGGCGGTGATCAATCGGTGATAAATCGGAAATAAATCGATTTTTATAATTTAATATAATATATTTCTAAATATTATTTATAAATACTCCAAACATATATAAAAAGATATTTAAACATAGTTATATCTCCATCATATATATATCCTAATACCATAATAAAAGTTTAATAACTATAAGATCATAATACATACATATCCATATAAAATATAAATAAAAAAATATTTTTTTTGAATTTACATTTATTCTTGAACATTCTTGGCATACATCATTAGTTCTTTAACAACAACAATTAACATAAACAAAATAAGGCATAAACTCATATTTTCTTTTATTAAAACCCAACTTTCATTTTGAATTATAAAAAAAAAAAAAAAAAAAAAAAAAAAACGATTTTTAACCGATTTTTGCCACCGAGTTTGACCCGCCTTAGACCGCATCGGACCGCCTGACAAGCAAAAAACCGATTTTTCAAACCCTTACACTAAAATCGTAAAGGTTTTGGACCGCCTCCGTCTCGGAGACCGATTAATCGGCCGCCTCGGCCGATTTTTAGAACACTGGTATACACACACGAATATTGGCTTATACAAAAGAAATTCATAAAAACCCAACAAAAATTTACAAATATCAATATTTTTATTATAAATCACATTAGAACCAATAAAAAACAAATCGAAAATACACAAATATACGCATATGTAACTACATGTTACTATAGTAATGTATAGTAATGTACAGTAATGTATACAGTCTGTTGAACAATTGAACAAAGCATATGTAACTTCAAACAAAAATGTTGACACCTTCAAGGAAATGATCAATGGCCTTCATTAAGCTGCAATTGCAAAATCAAAAAAAAAAATATTACTTTAGTGCAAATCAACAAAATTTGAAAAAAACATCAAAACACTAGAAAATCAACAAACACGAAGAGATAGAGAGAGAGGTTATTGCTGGAAAATGCTACATATTTTAAATCAAACAGACAGTGACTCCTCACCCCCCTCGCCTCCTACCAAAACCCTAGACGCCGCTAATAACCATCCACGGTTCCGCACGCCCACAAATGCAAAAAAAATATAGAAAATAAATTTGAAAACATAAAAATAACCGAAATTACCATCAAATTATAGATCTCGACGAGAGGAATCCAACGGTGGGTAACCCGTCAAATTTCGACGGGTGGAACACAAAACAAAGCTCCGGCAAGACCACCGTCGTCGAATGAAAAAAAATTGCAGAAACAGATCAGCGCTCCAAACTGAATGAAATCACCACCAAAAGAAAGAGCTCGACGTGAGGAATCCAACGGTAATTAAACCATCGAATTCCGACCACCGAAGAGGGAGTTATGACTCTGGGAAGCAATTTCGCCGGTGGGAGGTTTGTGGAGGCGGGATTTTGAATATGGGAGATGAAGATAGAGACGATTGTAGTAGCTAGGGTTTAAAACTGATTAGTATGATGCTTGACATCATTGATTTACAGTAAATTTACTGAGACCTGTTATGGCCTATGGGTGTTATGGCATATGGGTGGTAAAGAAGAAGATTCGTCAAACTTCAACATTAACTAAGATAAGATAAATATACAACCATATTACATCAAAAATATAAAGTGAAAGGACTTCTCAAAGTCAGTTAGGAACCATAGACGTACCACTCGAACCAATATTTTCCAATCAGTCTTTTTGTCCGGAATAATTTCGTGGATGAAGGATGTCCTCGGAATCATGTTTGATTTTCTCATAAAGAACACAAAAAATATTAAAAAAGAAAAACGAATCTATCGTTGAAAGAATCACATATAAAAAGAGGCTATGTCCATTAAATTCATAGATACCAAGGTGACTTAAACAAACTTACTTCTTGACGAATGGAGATAATTTTTGCAAAAAGAAAGATACCTACAAAGAAGTGAGAAAACGATATAAGTAGGGGTTTAAGAAAGAGATGGAAGAGGCGGGTGTACAGAAAAGTGGGAAAAAGATATGTATCGTTTCAGATATATACGCATCATATACGTAGATTTGTTGTGGGAAAAAAAATCTGGATAATTCCATGGAAAACGTAACTATTAAATTGAATCAGGGGAGAGGAAGAGAAGTCACAGCGAAGAAATTGGCGGTGAGAAAGATAGATATGGGCTGCAGTGGGTAAATACTAAATATACATAGAGTTGGGGGAGGGGTAATCTGATAACTAAAACCGCCTCATAGGCAAAAAACCGATTTTTCAAACCTTTACACTAAAATCGTAAAGGTTTTGGACCGCCTCCGCCTCGGAGACCGATTAATCGGCCGCCTCGGCCGATTTTTAGAATACGGGTAAATATACATAGAGTTGGGGGAGGGGTAATCTGGATAATTAATTGATTTAATTATATTTAATTATATTAATTTAAATGAAACAAAACAATAAAATTAGCGGGGGAGTCGGCATTGAGAAGTCGAAGTGGGCTGGGTTGAGTAGATATCTACATAGATGTGGATTTTGATAATTAATTAGACTGATTATATTTAATTATATTAAACTAAATGAAACATAACAATAAAATTAATACTTAATTAATTAAATAAACAACAAATATAGGAATTAAATGAGCGGGAAAAAAAACCCTAGGTTTCATCAGAGCAACCCTACTTTTATTAATAAGATTGCTAGAAATCAAATCTGACAAATCTAATTTCTACAACAGGCCATGAAGATGTATCTTTCTAACAACGAGGTCTTCCAGTAATTATTAAAAATGTTTCTCCCGATCGATCTTTACCATTTATTTACAAACAAACACACACACCCACATTGGTCTGTGCATGTAAACGGTCGAAATTCATTACAACCTTAACCTGATGTAGCATAGAATTAAATAAAACAATTTCGAATTCATTATCCACATAAATTCGAATGCAATCACAGTACTTACGGGATATTCGACCATATAAAAAGTCGATACACTTTATCATGATTGCCAATTTCGACTCCTAAAAAACCGGAAAAAAATAAATCTCAAAGTTTTGTTCATATATTACGGGACAAAATTATAACCCTGCAGACAAACATCCGAAAACAACACAAAACGGAAAAAAAAAAAAAGAAAAAAAAAATCAAACTAACAATTAATAAGTGGAAAAAAAAATTGAGACATTCATATATAGAACAAGAAACTCAATTTCAATCACAACAGCCTCGTTCATACACTGCCGACAGCGACGCGCTTGAACAAATCAGCAGACAATCTCGGAGTAGGAACGATACGAACCGGGGTTCTCATATAAGTAGTCAAACCGGCTTGCTCCATCATATCAATATCCTCGACCCGAACCCCATCCGGTGGCGTCATCGTAAAATGGTGCACCATGTGCCCCAACATCGAGGTGACCAAATTAATCGCCAGCTGTGCGCCGGGGCATATTCTCCTTCCGGAACCAAACGGAAGCAGCCTGTAATCCGTCCCCTTCATATCTATATCCTCTTCTTGGAATCTCTCCGGCCTGAACTCGAGCGGATTCTTCCACACGGACGGGTCCCGCGCGAGGGCCCACACGTTGACGCTCACCGTGGAGTCCTTCGGGATGTCGTAGCCGCCGACCTTGACGTCCGTGACGGCCTTGTGGGGGAGGAGTAAGGGTGTCGGAGGGTGCACCCTAAAGCACTCCTTTGTCACGCACTGCAGGTACGGCAGCTTCGGGATGTCGGCTTCGGTCATGACTCGGTCTTTTCCGACCACACGATCGAGCTCCTCTTGTACCTTTTGCTGCACGTGAGGGTTTCTTACCATCTCGGCTAATGCCCACTCGACCGTTATGATTGTTGTGTCCATACCAGCTGATATCATGTCCTGATATATAATTTAAAAAATAAAAAAAATTGATTAAATTTATTCTCTTTTTTATAAATTTCATTAGAGCAAGGAACATTTAAGTAACGGTAAATTGCACCTAGACCCCTCAGGTTTGGAAAATTACATATACGTCCCTTGAAGTTTGGTTCCAGTCAACAATTTATCCCATCTAGCCATTGACTGACCAAAAAATGATGACGTCATCGAAAAAAATTGATTCGGATTCTTTTTTCTTTTTTCCAACCAAAGATTTTGTAATTTTTTTTATCGCCATTTAGACCCTTTAACATTTTATTAAAAATAAAAAAATAAGGGCTTTGTTGTACTTTTTACTCGAAAAAAATACGACCTCTAACCAACTAAAAATTGAATTTCAATTGTTCGTGCGAAGAAAAACAACGACCATGGTTTTTATACTTTTTTCAAAATAAATTAAAAAATAAAATTTCTAGTGAGGATAAAATTGTCAATTTTCCAAACATAAAGGGGTCTAAATGCAATTTGACTTAATCTCAGGGTAGTCTAAGGTAAGTTTAATTTACCCTATAAAGAATGTTTTGACATTTAAAAATGCAGAAAAGTAGTAATTTCGGTTGTTCTACTTACCCAAAGGAGTCCAATAATCGTGTCGTCGCTAATGTCGTAATCCTTCTGAAGACTAAGCATCGCGTCGATGAAATGGTTCTTGGTATTCCCGGTTCTCTTCCGCGCAAGCGTGTGTTCTTCCATTATCTTCTTGGTGAAGTTATCGGCACGGGAGTCGTGCTTAGCTAGCGCTTCGTTTTCGGCCTTGAAGAGAAACGGGAGCCACGGGAGGAACTCGGCAAAGGATTTCCTGGAGCCGATTTGAATAGCACCGTCGAGAATCGCCTTCAACTCTTCTCCCTCGGAATCAACCACACCGTTCGAGTCCATGAATCTCTTACCGAAACTCAGCCTCGTTATGTGAAGGAACGCCATCATTCCTAGGTAGTCGCGCATCACTAGAGCTTTGCCCTTGTTTTCTGATCCCATTTTGATTTACGCGAAACAGACGAGATCAGCAGTTGAACTAGTTACATGAAAATTCAAATATATCGAATAATGAATTTATCATTTATGAGTTGACTTTATTGCAATTAGTACCCCTGTGTTATATCGAATTGCCACAAATTTACCCCATGTTATTTTATTAGCAAAAAAAACTCTATGATTTAAATGGTTTAGTAATTAGTACCCCTGTTAAGTGGGTTGTGTGCTAAAGAAATTGAATTATACAGGGGTTCTTGCCAATAAAATAACATAGGGTAGGCTTTCTATCAATTCGATATAAGACCGGGGTACTAATTGCAATAAAACCTTTACGAGATTATGAAACTAGCCACCTTAATTGGCAATTTTCTAAACTATGATTGGATTAATTCACTCCATATTACCGATTTACCGAATACCGAGCATGTCTTAGATTTCAAAGAAGCACCTCATAAACTCCACATAGAGTAAAACATAACATCGGAAATCAGCCACAACACTCAAATAATCAATGACAGTTTATCTTAAGAAGTACGAAAAAGCGAAGAAAAAAAAAATTCAGGGATTTATTGCATTTTAGTACCCTATGTTATACCAAATTGCTAAAAAACCCATCGTGTAATAGATATTAGCAAAATCTCCCCTATAAGTAAATTGAAGGGTAAACTACAATCGCCCCCTGAGGTAAGGTCTATTTACGAAACAACCCCTCATTTTCCATAATTACATCCATCCCTTGTAATTTGTAGATTTCTTACATCAACACTCTTTAGTAGGGGGTGGATGTTAGGAATTTACAAACTGCAGGAAGTTAGATGTAATTTCTCAAAATGAAGGGATTTTATTTTGTAATTACACTTTACCTGAAGAAGGTGGTTGTAATTTACCGTGAAATACAATTAACAAACTACACCTAAAAACGAACTACTTAGAGGATCGAGTGCTACAAAAATGCATAGGAAAAATACAGTTTTCATCCCTCAAGTTTGCACTGATTTCACATTTGGTCCTCAATGTTCCTAAAAATCACATTTGATCCCTCATATTTCATAAATTCAACACTTTTAGTCCTTTTCGTCAATTTTACGTTAGCTCTAATGGAATCAAGCTTGTGCCCTTCACTGCCTTAACTGACGAACTGACGGAAATGACCAACAATGTTAAAATATTGTAATATGAGGGACCAAATGTGTTTTTCTATGAACATGGGGACCAAATGTGAAATCAGTGCAAACTTTAGGGGTCTAAACTGTAATTTTCCCAAATTTTAGTACCCTGTGTTAAAACGAAACTGCTAAAAGACCCACCATGTTATACATATTAGCAAAACCTCCCCTATAATTAAATTTCACTACCAAAGTACACCTAAAAACGAAACATAAGCAGAGATCTCAGCAGCTCCATTTTCCTAATTATTAACTTTCAAGTCCTTCATCAACTTAATAATTCATTTAATTCAGAAAAAAAAGAGATGTAATAAATTAAATTAAAATTACCAGGTTTAACGCAGTCGTTGAAAACGTTTTCCACCATGGCAGTAACTTCATCTTCTCTGATTGGCCGGAGCGCCTCGATCCTCTTCGCCGAGAAAAGCTCGAGCGTGCAGAGCTTCCTCACCTTCACGTAGTGGGGCCCATAGTCCGACCACACCAGATCCATCCCGTTCTTGCTGAACATGTTAATCATACGTGTCCTGTTCCTATTGGCCAGCTGCTGGTCGTTGTCTTTCAGGACTTCCTTCGCCAGCTCCGGCGAGTTCACCACCACGTTGAGGTGGGAGCCCAGGTAGACCGAGAAGATCGGGCCGTAGATTTGGGCCCACTCGGTGAAGCACCGGACGAGGACCGGTTTCAGGTCGTACAGGTTTCCGACGATGGGCAGCGGCCGCGGCCCCGGCGGGAGCTTGTACCGGAGGCGCTGGAAAAGCTTGTATGCGATGAAGATGGTGAGGATTGAGACGGCGAAGAGTACGGCGGCGGCCATTGTTGACCTTCGTCGGCTGTGAAAAAGAAGTGGGTGTCTTTAATTGTGGATCGAACAGGTGGAATATGATATATACTGTGGTGGTGAAATGTGGTTAGTTGGATACTTTGGTGTGTGTGTGTGTGTGTGTGTGTGTTTGGTGGAAGCGCAGACTTTTTGGGTGCGATTTGTAATAAATGGTAATTGTGGGGATTCTTTTTGTATATTTTAGAGCTTAACTCAAGGAATCTTAAGGTGGTGTTTTTCTATTTTGCATCCACCAATAATTTTTTATTGGTGGAACTTGGAAGCAATTTTGGGTGCGATTTGTAATAAATGGTAATTGTGGGGACTCTTTTACTATTTTTAGAGCTTAACTCAAGGAATCTTAAGGTGGTGTTTTTCTATTGTGTTTATTACGAAAACCAACCTAAACTTGGATTACATACAGAAATCACCTCCACCTATTCATAATTACCGAAACCCCTGGAAGTTTGTTTCCGTCTTACACAAACCCCATACAGTGTTACTTTTCACGGATTTTTTTAATTCTAGGGTGTAGACTTTACGCAATTTCATATATTTTCTTTTATTTCTCACCTATTTAACATAAGGTATAATAGATTGTACACATTTTCTGTAAATATACCGTTAATCAGAGGGAGATTTTGGTTATTAGGAATAGGTTGGGGTGTTTTTAATTATTTGGCCAAAGTTCAGGGGATTTTCGTAATTTACCCTTTTCTATTTTGCATCCACCAATTTTTTCTATTGGTTGATGCAAAGACTTTATGGGTGCGGTTTGTAATAAATGGTAATTGTGGGGACTCTTTTTGTATTTTTAGAGTTTAACTAGAGGGAATGTTAAGGTGGTGTTTGCAAAATTAATGGTGATTATTGATATAATTTGAAATAATTATTTATTTTTAAAATTTGCAGGTGTTTGAAAATAACTGGAAAAAATCAACTTGAAGTATCTGATTTAGAAATTGATATGTTTGCAAATAAATTTTAAACTTCTTTTAGCCTATTTGGGTTAAATGTTTAAATCGACCTAATAAAGTACAATTTGGATAAATGATAATAAGGGTGAAATTATCAAATATTTTTTTAATTGATAACTGCTAAGGAAAGATAAAGGTTGAGGGTAAAAATTTGGTCTTACATTTTGTTAGGCAAATTACGGCCACCCTCTTGAGGTAATACTAAATTACAAAAAAAAAAACCTCATGTCTGGATAACTATAATTACACATCAATTATATATTATCTTACAGAAAAACCCTTTTTCAATAGGTAAATCTGACACTGTAAGAATGGACGTGTAAGACAAGATATAGTTGAGGAGATAATTACAAATATCCAAACATGATGAATTTGTTTGTAATTTGATCTTATATCGAGGACTGACACGATCAATAAAACTTGTAATGGTCCAAGATTTCTTATTTACTTGGGAATACAACTAATTCACCAACTCCCACTTATGGTCTTCAATCTTGAATGGTAGGTTAGATTTTTTTCTTTTTATATATTCCTTTTTTTGCTAATTTTAAAATTTGTAACCTAATTTCCTCGTATTATCTAATGATTTTTGGCACGTGGGAACGTCTGCATCAAAGTTCAAACTTTATATTATTATTCTTATATTCCTAGTGTGGTGGTCAACGGTTAGGAGGAAAGTCAAGGTAAAGAAATACATATGAAATTTAAATCATATTTGTATTAATGGCCATCCATCTTCTAATTAATTAAAAAATACTTATACCCCATTTTTTTATTTAAAATCTTAGAATAAATAAACATAACAGATAATCTCATATCAAAGCATCTTAAAAATTAATTTTAAAAATAAAACATAATAACTTATCGGTCTTTAAAACAATTTATCCGACATAAGAATTTATCAGCTGTTTAAACTTTAAAATAAACTTTGTATAGCTACTTCTTTTGCTAATTAACTAGGGATGTGTGTCATCTCTTAGTAATATTTAGAGTTAAAGTGCATAAAACATTGCTTATAAATATTACTTGTATGCATGCATTCACAATTTTGATTTAGACCATTATTTTGTCATTTAATTTGTCACCAACTAAAACCCCAACAACTACTGAATTTATATTTGAATAATAAAAAAGGAAATTGTCCATGAGTTGTACACCATAATTGTCACCAACTAAAACCCCAACAACTAGTTGTAGAATTACTTAAAAAAATAAAAACATAAATTATATTTTTGTGAACTTGCAATATATAAAAGGATAACAAAATTGCTATTCGCGGTTTCTAACAAACCCCCCAAAATTTTTAAAAA